TGTACAAATGGGTGGGGCACTGGTGGCTCACATCTGTAATCAGGAGGATCAAGATTCAAAGCCAGCCTGGGCAAATAGTTTGCAAGACCCTATCTCAAAAAAATCCTTCACCAAAAAGGGCTGCTAGTGGAGGGGCTCAAGGTGTAGGCCATGAGTTCAAGCCCCAGTACCATAAAAAAAAAAACACACACACACACACACACACAAATGGGTAGAATTTGAGCCAAATCTTGAATGGATGGGATTTGTCTCTGACAGGAAGATATTTTAAGGCCTGAGTTTAAAAGCAAAGAAAACCAAGTACAACAGTTGGTAGAAGCAAAGGATAAAGGAATAAGTGTGATGTACAAAGGGCCTATAGAGCACCTTATTTCTGCTTACCTGTGTTTGTTGCACATATAACTTTAAGACATTCCCTGTGGAGTGGAAGAAGTAGACCAAAGGATAGGAAGTAAAATGATGCTTTGGTTAAACACTGGAACTCAGTGTATTTGTGTGGAGGTATATTTGTATTTCTCTATTTCATAGGTTAGAAGTCCTGGTCTTTCTGATTGACCTCATCTGCAAGGAAAATTTCAGGCTGAATTCCCTTCTTTTTTCCATGGAGTGAGCGGGCTGCAGAAGCCCCCTTCTAAGTGAACAGGCTAGCACGTCAGGGTGTATGCTGGTGTTTACTATCATGGCTTCTTCCCAGGCCGCTCCTGTCATGCAAGCCTTTTGTCCTGAGCCTCCCAAAGTACCTAGGAAGAGTGTTTGCTTTCACCAGTCAGTGCTACAGGCAAGGGTTGGGTATGACTGACCTAGAAGTAAAGGGCAGAGACATTATTAGTATACAAACAGTTCCTCCAGTTGCTTATTTATTCAACTCATTCTTCCCTTTTATTCAACCTGTATATTCTTTGTTCTTTTCAAGTTACCTAACCTTCTTGAACCTTAATTTCTTCAGCTATAAAATGGGGACAATAAAAAAAATGGGGACAGTAATAATGCTGACTTTCAAAGTTCATTGTGCAGATGAAATTAAGGAATATTATTTCTTCACTCAACAGGTATTTGGTGAGCAAATACCAAGAGCCAGGTCCAGATACCAGAGCTAAGTGCTAAAGATGGTGGTGAACACAAGGACACCCCACCCCCAGTAGGCAGAACTAAATGATAGTACAATAAAGCAAGCATGCGGTGATGGTCAGGGAGGGCTTCATTGAGGAAGCAACATTTCAGCAAGGAGCTGAGGGAGCAAGCCAGACACACATGGGGGAACAGGGAACTGGAGGAAAGAGCTAGGACGAGGTGGGGAGGAGTGGCAGGGGGCATTGTCTGAGTCAGTTAAAATGGCTTGGCTTCTTTCCAAAATGAGCTGGGAAGTCTTGCTGATTTGAAGAGAAGTAACATGATCAGGCTTCTAGTATTAAGAATCACTATGCTATGGTGGGGAGAGTGCAGGAGTCAAGGGCAGAAGCAGACAATTAGGACACTATGGCAATTAGGCTACAGACTGCTGGGATCATGGTGGTGACAGTGGAAGTGGAGGGAAGTGCTGAATTCTTTATGTATTTTGGAGGCAGATCAGAACCATTTCCATGTTAGTGTTAAAGCACAATTCATAAAATAAATTGATAAACTGAACATCAAAATTAAAAACTCATGGGTCTCAACACCGTAAAGAAAATGAAAAGACAAGCCACAGAATGAGAAAATATTTATAAAGCCCGTATCTGATAAAGGACTCCTATCAAGAATATATAAAGAACCCTTGGAATTCAATAATAATAATTCAAACAACTCATTTAAAAATGGACAAAAGATTTGAATAGACATTTCCCCAAAGAGGACATATGGATGGCTAATGATCACATAAAAATGTTCAAATCATTAGCCATTAAGGGAATGCAAATCATGGGAGAAGATACTACTTCACGCCCACTAGAATGGTTATAACCAGAGACAGACAGTACCAAATGTTGGCCAGGGTGTGGAGAAATGGAAATCCCCATATATTGTTACTAGGAATCAACAGTTTCTTAAAAAGATAAACATGAACTGACTGCACAACCCAGCAATTACTCCACTCTATTTATCTATCCATAAAAAATGCAAACATAGATTCAAACAAAGACTCGTACATAAATGTTATGTTCATAGAAGTCCTATTCAAAAGAGCCAAAAAGTGGAAACAACCCAAATGTCAATCACTGCTACAATGGGATACTATTCAACAGTAAAAAGGAAGGAATATTGTGTATGCTACAACACGGGTGAATCTCAAAAAGATTATGCTCAGTGAAAATAGCTAGCCACAAAAGACCACATATTGTGTGGCTCTGTTTGTATGAAGTGTCCAGAAAAGGCAAATCCATGCAGAGTAGATCATTGTTCCTGGGGTTGTGGGTGGGAATAGAGATTGTCACTAGGCCTGAGTGATCATAATTAGCCATGAGGTTATTGAGGTGATGAAAATGTTCCAAACTGGACTGGGGAAATTTGGATAAATGCATTTTAAAGTTGTTAAATTTGGGGCTGGTGGAATGGCTTACTGTTAAGAGTGCCTATCTAGCAAGCATGCAGCCCTGAGTTCAAACTTCAGTACTGCCAAAAAAATAAATGAAATTAAATTATACCCTTAAAAAGAAAAATGGTAGCAGAGTATGCTTGTGCATGCCTGTAACGTCAGCATTGGGAAGATTGAGACAAGAGGATTAGGAGGATTATGAGTTCCAGGCCAGTCTTAAGGAAAAAAAAAAGGACTATTGGTGCTGGTTTTGTTTTGGGTGTGACTGGGGTTTGAAACTCAGGGTTTCACACTTAAAAAGCAGGCTCTCTGTTGCTGAGCCACACCTCCAGTCCATTTTGCTGTGGTTATTTTGGAGACAGGGTCTCATAAACTATTTGTTGGGGTTGGCCTGGAACTGTGATCCTCCTCATCTCAGCCTTCCTAGTAGCTACCAGCACATAGCCACTCTACTCTTTTTTTTTTTTTTTGGCAGTACTGGAGTTTGAACTCAGGGCCTCATGCTTGCTAGGCAGGTGCTGTACTACTTAAGCCACTTAGCCCTATTTTGTGGGTTTTTTTTTTTTTTTGGAGATAGGGTCTTAGGAACTATTTGCCTGAGCTGGCTTAGAACCAGGAACCTTGAATAGCTAGGATTATAGGCTTGAGTCACTAGTACCCTGCTCTACTTTTTTTTTTTTTTAAACAAACTTTGGTTTTTTTCAGGAAGTATGTGCTCAGGCCTAGGAGATAAGTCACGGTTGGGTCATACCATGAGTCCACACCATTCTATGTAATACCTCCTTTTGTCCAATATTAATAAACTCATTCACAACAATCCTGCAAGGTAGATTTTTTTTCCATTGTATTGATATGCAAACCCAGGCATAGGCTGGATGTGGTGGCTCACTCTTGTAATTCCAGCTACTCCGGGGGATCGGAGATGAGGAGGATGGCAGTTTAAAGCCAGACCAGTTGCCGGGAGTGGTGGAGGCCATAGGTAAGATTGGAGCCAGCCTCAGGGGGCAAAAAGTGAGACCCTATCTGAAAAATAACCTAGAAATATAAAAGGCTGGAGGTGTGGTTCAAGTGGTAGAGTGCTTCTCTAACAATCTGGAGTCCCTGAACCAATACCAATCAGCTGGGTGCCGGTAGCTCATGCCTGTAATCCTAGCTATTCAGGAGGCAAAGATCAGGAGGATCGCGGTTTGAAGTCAGCCCTGGTGGACAGTTTGCGAGACCCTATCTCAAAAATACGGAACACAAAACAGGCCTGGTGGAATGGCACAGTGTTTGGGAAGGGGAGGAGGCACAGAAGAGAGACTAACTTTGAAAACTAGTTTGTATATAGATTTTTTTTTTTTTTTTTGCGGTGCAGGGCTTGAACTCAGGGACTACACCTTGAGCCACTCCACCAGCCCTATTTTTTTGTGAAAGGTTTCTTCCAGATAGGTTCTCGCGAACTATTTGCCTGGGTTGGCTTTGAACCTCCATCCTCCTACGTAGTCAGGATTACAGGTGTGAGCCACCAGCGCCCGGCAAAACCATTATTCTCCACTGATAGTTTTGTGCATTCTTTTATGCGCCGGGTTGTGGGTATTTTCCTTTACTATGTGACCCGTAAGGATGTCCTTCCGTTACTATTGACAATCTGGAACTCCTTAAGGCAACTCACTTGCGGCTCAGGAACTGCTCCAAATGACTTCTAGGAACTCCACTTCGCCCTCTTCTCCCCAAGTGCTACTTCTAATGGTCCCCAAATCCCAAGAAACTGCTTTCTAATGGCTCTAAGGATACCCTCCGTCAGGATCTATCCTAATGACCTCCAAGGCTGCTTCTTTAGGAACTGCTTCCTTCAGGAGCCATCCGGACTTGCCGGCTTGTGAGGGGTTTCCAAGGACGTAGGGTTTGTTTTAAAATCCAATCTAGTTCCGGACAAACCAGAACAAGTTGGTCATCTTCTCAGGGCTCCTTGACTTTAGAAGTTGCCCCTAAAGGCCCCCATCACCTTTTCACTTTAGGCAAAGGGGCTACTCACCCCAGGAAAACTTTGGTTCATCCTTTCGTAACCTCACCGCCCTTACCCACCTACCCGACCATCCCATTTCTGGTACTTGATTCTTTCTACCCTGATTAGCTATGGGAGGCCTGAAGCTTGCTTTTGATTGGCCAGCTCCGCGATCCGGGGATGATGCTCAGTGGCCGCAGTCCTAAGTGGTAAAGAATTTCCTCCTGGCAACAGCCCGAGCCAGCCCTCATAGGCTGAGCAGATTGATATCCCCGGACTTTGAGCTGCAGCGCGTGTTCATTGGCTATTTAAGGGCTTGTAGCCGCTGTCGGATTGGTTGACTCGTGGGGCGCTGTGCGGCTGCGCCGAGGTCGACTTTAGAGGAGGCGGGGCTTCGTCTTTCGCCTGCTGGAAAAGCAGTAGGATCGGATAGTGGCGACAGCAGAAACCGAGCCTGAGCCTTGCCGGGGCTTTGGTTCTGAGGTGAGAATCATCGGGCTTTGGATGCCTTTATGTTTGTTACTGCTGTAGCCATGACGGCGAGCTCCAGTGGGGGAGGGGCGATGGGGTGGTTCTTTCTACAGTGAGTGATCGGCATGTTTTTTGGTCAATAAGAGAAGGAGCTAGTAAAATAAGTCCTACGATTGGTCCTTTCCAATATTTTCTGGCCAATGGACATCGGAAGAGGGGGGCGGGTCCACTGGGCCTTATTTTCTTCTTCCTGCGGTCGGGCCTCACTATTCTAGGCGATCGGGCCCGGAGGGGCGAGACCCCTGCGTGGTGAGGTTTGGGGACCTTGGGAACTGGGGCTGCCTTTGGAGGGATGCCCGCGGGAGCGTCTGCGAGTGGAGGGTGCGGGAGTTCAAAGTGGTTGTTAGCAACAGCTGCCTTTATGTAGTGCTTAAGTACTGGGCCTAGTCCTTAGGGTTTCGCTTGCATCATCTGAGTTAATCATAGCAAGTCTGCCGGGCCGGGGGTAGGGGTCCCATTTTACAGGTGGAGGAACTAAGACTCAATCAGCCAACTCACACAGCCAAGGTCACAAAGCCAATAAATGACAGAGACCGGGTCTGTATTCAGTTTCCACTCCGGAGCCGCTGCTCTTAAAACACTAGGCTTTGTTGTTGGATGCCCGAGGGCAGGTGTCAGGGACCGAGAGTTTCCCTTAGGGAATATATTGGGCCAAGGGCACCCTAGGGTTAAAGAAATGAGATGAGCAATCGAGATGAGGGTGAGGAAATAGTTATTCAGCAGTTACTGAGTGCCTACTCTGTGCCATGCATTGTTCTGGATCCTAGACACACAAAGATGAATAGGGCCAGAGGCAGAGGAAGCCCCATTATGTCCCCTTTCAAGCCGGGGGGCGGGGCCCCAATCCTCTATTCACGTGATTGATTTTTTTTTTCTAAAGTTTGCAAAAGTAAAATAGTTCGGAATTCTTTTTTTAAAGGAGGGTCTCCCAAATTGAATAGACTTCATGTTCCTCCACACTTGAATCTGCCCTTGGAAAGGACTAAATCCAGGTGGAGATTAGGCTGTAGGCATCCGAGAATAAATGGAAGGTGCCCTAGGAGTGGACCGTGGGTACATTTCCTGGTATGTAAAACAGAGATAACAGTGTACCTGCCATGCAAAGTTTCTGCAAAGCTCATGAAAAGTGCTTGGCCAGAAACACCTTATTTTGAGTAGAATAAAAGACTTGTGTGTAGTAGGGTTTGTCTTCTCTCTTAACACGGACAGTTTTGCTCCATGTATCTCCCAAATCTGTTACTGGATTGTTGGTAGGTTGGAGGCAGTTTCCTCCCATGTAACTGTATTGCCGTGACTTTGTACTGCTGGGGCTTTGGAGAGGAGGTTCAGTAAAGGAAAAGACCTACTGCTTTCACTTCTAAACTAGCTCTTTTTAGCTGGTATCCTTTTTCAGTTGAGATGTGTTAACAAGCAATGTGGGTATTCCCACATAGTTGGAGTCCTTATCTAAAAACCTGAAGTATTTGTTTAGCTTTCTTCTGTCACTTACAAAGTTTGTCCCAGATTGTCAGTTAATTGCTTGTTTAAGTTTTTCCTTTGTGTTCTGGGTACAAAGCAGTTGAACTTGTCTCTAGCTTGAGTTCATTAAGTACTGCTGAAACTGCATTTTCGTTTAGATTTGAGAACAATTCACTGTAGCATTTTCTTTTTTTATGGTACTGGGGTTTGAACTCAGGGCCTACACCTTGAGCCACTCCACCAGCCCTTGTTTATGAAAGATTTTTCGAGACAGGGTCTCTGGAACTATTTCCCTGGGCTGACTTTGAATCTAGCCCCCTGAGTAGCTAGAATTACAGGCGTGATCCAACGTGCCCAACTTTCAGTATAGCATTTTAAAATTTTAAGTCAGGCTGCTAATGTCAAAGTACTTTTTAACCCTTAAACTTTGTAATCTTGTAGCCAAGTTAACTCTCAGGTATCTATTTAGAACAGTGTTCTAAAAGTGAAAAGAAAAGAGCATGTAGGTGACTTTTAAAATCAGATTATAGTATGTTATGTTTAATGCTTAGGAAAGAGATTGGCAAAGTTTAAATAGAGGAGTAACTTGAAAAAAAAATCAGGGCACAATGTGGCAGTTCAGCTACATTGTTGGCTAGAACCAACAACCAAATGACAGTTTCCTTTTTAGGTGAAACAAAGTCACTAAGATTGGAATACAACAGTTTTGATATAACAGGTTCTTTTCATTTTATCTTTTTTTTTTTTTATTTTCAGGCTCTACCACTGATCCACACCCCCAGCCTTTATTTTTATTGTTACTTTTTTGAGACTCTTGCTATGTACAGCCCAGAATGACCTTGAGCTGGGGCCCACCTGGACTACAGGCATGCTCTGCCACACCCAGCTTCCTCAGTTCTTTTTAAGCAGAAGCTTTTCTATTCATACTTGTAGTTCCTTTAAATAACTTCCCTCGAGGCAGTTTCCAGGTGTGAAGTCCCATCGTGCTTCTTCAGAATTTCTGCATGATCTGTTACTATTTTCAGTACTGATATTCCCAACATTTAATTCACATGTTGTATGATTTTTCAGCTCCTAATGTATTTCTTTAGATTCCTGTCTGACCAAAGTGACTTCAAAAAGAAGGGAAAATGGCTTCTGAATCTGAAACTCTGAATCCCAGTGCCCGAATAATGACCTTTTATCCAACCATGGAAGAGTTCCGGAACTTCAGTCGCTACATTGCCTACATTGAGTCTCAAGGAGCTCATCGGGCTGGACTGGCCAAGGTAAGGAGTAGGATTGTTCACCTTGGCTCTTGGAAAGGGGAGGGGGAAGCAGTAAGGTTTTTACCAAATGAAAGCCCAACTGGGTTTTACTGAAAGTTGGGTGGGGCAGTGACTTTGTTGTAAGCTGTTCCATTTGCAAGTTAATTCCTGTTAACATCTGAAGTGTATGTGCTTTTAGGCCAGAGGAAGCTGCTCAGTCTTCACAAAGGGCAGGCAAAGAGTCAGCATCTCCAGACCTGGCCACCAGGGTTGGCCTCCTGGCGGAGCTGGTGCTTTAATGGTTTTTATCACCACTGCATGCTTACGCCACCTGCATTTTCGCACTCTCATTGTAATTTGACTTCCTTCCCATGTAGACTTTCTTTAACAGGAAGAACGCACTGGCCAGCCAACCTGAGTATGCTGGTCTTCATAATTTGATACTGGTTTCTGGTTTGTACTTTTCTCCTATGAGTTGAGTTACTTTTCCATAGTCAAATCAGCCCTTCATTTATTTAGTCACAATCAAGTTTCTGGGTCCCAGATGAAATGATCACATTTCTGTAAGGATCCTCAAGGAGCAGAGGCAAGAACACTTCTTACTGGTTTGTTCTGTTTTGGTTTTTTTGGTGAGGCTGGGGTTTGAACTTAGGGTTTTGCACTTGCAAAGAAGGGGCTCTACTGCTTGAGTCACACCTCTAGTCCATTTTGCTCTGATTTTTTTGGAGATAGAGTTGCATGAGCTATTTGTCCAGGCTAGCCTCAAGTGTCCCAAGTCCCAGGTAACTAGAATTACAGGTATAACAGCGCCTGGCATTATTTTTGTTTTTTTGAGACAGGGTCTCGCTATGTAGCCTAGGCTGGACTGGAACTCTCAAGATCCTCTTGCTTTTCTGCTACCTGAATGTAGGGTGATGGGATTGTAGGCATGTGCTGCCATGCCTGGTCTCAGAAAGTTTTTTATTCTGTGTTATGCTGTTTGAATTTCCTACCATATGCATGTTACTTTTTCAATATGTAAAAAAGAAAGCAAGGACAATTTCTTACAATGGTAAGGAATAATCTTGGACCCTGGTGCCTCCACTGAGTCTCAAGACAGTCCTGTCTTTACTTGTATATGCAGATAATGGCTACTGATGGTTTCAAATGGTGGGTAGGAGCTGCAGGGCCCACAGTGCAGATTTTTGGCTTTTTTTTTTTTTTTTTAGAGAAAAGGGCTCATGCCTATAATCTTGGCTACTCAGGAGGCAGAGATCTGGAGGATTGTGGCTTGAAGCCAGCCCCGTGCAAATAGTCCCCAGGACCCTATCTCAAAAAAAAAAAAAAACCCATCACAGAAAAGCAAGGCATGAGGCCCTGAGTTCAAACCCCATGTCATCAAAAATAAAAAGAAAAGAAAGAAAAAATATTGTCTTAAAAGTTAATTCAAAGATATATAAAGAGAAGGGTTATTTATCTTTCATCTGCCTTCTGAAGTACCTTCTCCTTGAGGTAGTCCTTCCACACCTTTTTCTTTGTTCACACAAACACACATATGGTATTGTTACTTACTTTGTTTTTAGAAGAGAATGGACTCATGCTGGATGGTCCCTGTGTTCTTTTTCTTTCTTTCTTTTTTTTTTTTTTTAAATGGCATGTTCCCCACCCTCCCAGGTCACTTAAGGATACAGCTCATTCATCTTTTTTACTCATGTTACCTTGTTAATTTATTACTTTTGGAATAGGTAATGTACTTAGGTGGGTAAAAGTAAAATGCTAGTAGAAGGTAGATAATGTAGTCTTCTGCCACCTTCTCCATACTTTCATGCATATACTTCTTTTGTTGCTTTATGCAAATACTGGCACATATATATGCACATGTGTATGGGTTCTTGTTTTCTGCTTTCTTGCATAAAATGTAGCATACAATATTCTCTAATTAAATTTAAAAAGTCTATAATGTTCCATAGAGTGAATCCACTTTAATTCAGTTATTTAAGACTAGCTTTCTAGCTTTTTTTTTTTTTTTTAAAACTTCTTTGTAAATTGCCTGCAGTCTAGTATATGAGAGAAGGAAACTATGAGTGTAGAATTGATCAAGTCAGGTAAAAATGTTGGGTTTTTTTCCTTTAAAAGAGAACCCTGGGCTGTTGGCTTGAAAGAGAATCAACTCTCCAACCTGATAAGGTGCTGAGTCTTAGAATACTTTACTTAACCTTAGGTCATTGCAACTAGACAGCAAATTGGTAGCAGAACATGGTCAGGGTTAGTGTGACACTGTCACTTTTTGCACTGGATGAGCAAGGGTAAATCAAAGTCACTTTCTACTAAAACTGACTGTTTTACTACACACTTGTTGAACTCTGGCTGCCAATTTTTCATCTGTCTCTTTGTGTCTTGTGTTCACTGTAGGTTGTTCCTCCTAAAGACTGGAAGCCACGAGCATCCTATGATGATATTGATGATCTTGTCATTCCTGCACCCATCCAGCAGCTGGTGACAGGGCAGTCTGGCCTCTTTACTCAGTATAACATTCAAAAGAAAGCCATGACTGTTCGAGAGTTCCGCAAGATTGCAAATAGCGATAAGTGAGTTCAAGAAACTCTTTCCCTGTCTTAGCACCTAGGACCTAGCATCTCATCCTCATGGTTCTACTGAAGAAGCAATTCGAGCTAGGCACTGCTGCCTCATACCTATAATCCTAGCAATTCAGGAGACAGAGATCAGGAGGACTGCAATTTGAAGCCAGCTCAGGCAAATAATTTGTGAGACTTTATCTCGAAAATACCCATCACATTGTATGGCTCAGTGTATAGGCCCAGAGTTCAAACCCCAATACCAGAACAAAACAGTTTGTTCATTCTAGCTTCTGTCTCCTTTCTGCCCTTTTTATGGAAGTATTTTCTCAAAACTGTGTTACAGTGTAAACTGTCCATATTCTTATATAAAGAAATCCTATCATTTTCCCATCAGAAGTAGAATAACAAAAACAAAAATTTTGTTGTGCTGATGAACAAATCCAGGGCCTGGAGCAGGCTAGACAAATGCTCATCCACTGAGCTACATGCATCCCCAGCTCTAGAAATAGAACAATTTCCTGACTCTGATAAGTTGCATAGTTGCAAAGGAGAAATTTGGAGGTGGTTTGAAAAGAGTTTTTCCCAAACCTATTGATATTGCCTGCTTGTACAAAAGTGGCTTTAGTAGATTGAGTTGACCTGGGTCACGCCCAGGCTTCTTACCACCCATTAGCTGCTTTCTCATTTCTGTTTTGACACTAACAGAATGTGAGTAAATAATTACCAAGCTTGGTGCTGTTTTCTGTCACTGTATTCCTCATCTGTATATTCTTGTTTCAAAATGTCTGTTTAGTCCTGTTTTTCAGTCATTTTTCTTTGTTCTTTAAATATTTAGTTCTCATCTTACTTTAGACTCAAAGAGAATGGTTTTTGTGTTGCCCTCATTTGGCTCTGACCCCTCTTCTTAATCATCATTCTTGGATCTTCTCTTTCCACTTTGCTCCTCAGTTTCAAGTTTCACAAGGAAGTCCTCCTTTTTCCCTTGCTTCATTTCCTCAGCCTTTCTGGTATACTGATGTCATTATTTCAGCCTGGCAGCTGCACTTTCACTGTGAACAAGCTCAAAGCTATGTCTTTAGCTTTCAATCTTCACACTTCAGGGGACAGCACTTCATGTGTTTATCATCTCTCTCTCACATCAGGTCTCACTCTTGCTATTTCTACTCTTTGCCTTTTTATTTCACTTGTTGCAGTTCTAATTGGGTCCTATAGTTTTATTGATAACTCTTGAAGCATCTACATTGCTGGCCAGCCTGTTGGCCAGAGAGGACTTACGTAAAAGCCTGTTGAAGAAGTGACATGTTCTGTTGATGGAGTGTAATATCCTTTATGTGTGATTTTAGCTGGGCTGTAGGCCAAGCTTACCTGCTTTGTGTTTCTCACATAGGGTTCTACCAGGGTCTTCCATCTCTTACGTCTTCTCTTGTCGACATGTGTCAGGCTTTCTCTTCTTTCAGGATACTTCTTTTCCTTTAAAATTAACCAGCACTGTATCTATTCCTTTTATCTTGATACATTTATTTTCACTTTATTTATGTCTTTTGCTGGGGATTGAACCCAGGGCCTCGTGTAAGTATTTTACCACTGTGCTACACCCCGGTCTCTATCCTGTATAACAAGATTTTTATCCCTTATTGCTACCTACTTATTCAGCTAGATTAAAAAACAAGGCAAAAAAAAAAACCCTCTAAATTTAAAAAAAAAACCCTCTAAATAAAACAGATCAGTGTGTGTGTGTGAAAAATTTTTTCTTGTTTTTGGCAGCACTGGAGGTTGAACTCAGGGCTCTGCACTTGCAGTGTAGGCAGTCTACCACTTGAGCCACACCTCCAGTCCATTTTGGTCTGGTTATTTTGGAGATTGGGTCTGGAGAAATGTTTGCTCAGACTGGCCTTGAACTTTGATTCTCCCAATCTGCCTCCCAAGTAGCTAGGAATGTAGTGAATGTTCTTTAAACTTTATTTTCACTAGGTTAACATCAAAATGTAAGGCAATATTTAAATGAGTCTTTGTGTCTCACCCATTCCCATTATTTCTACACAGTTACATTTTTGTTTTCATGTCTACTCTACATTCATAATATTTCTTGTTATTTTAGTTAAAATATGCATTAGTTTTTCTACTTTTTTGTATACTCATAAGGTCTGTATATTATCCTTGCATTTTCAGTGTTTTTTTCCCTGTGTGTGTATGACAGGGTTTCATTGTATAGCCCAAACTAGCCTTGAATTTGTGATCCTCCTTCCTCAGCCTCCTCAGTGCTGGGATTACAGCCGAGTACCACCACGCCCAGCATGTATTACTCTTTTTAAAGTGCCACATAATAACCTTTAAATGGTGTAAAAATTTAAAAAATTGGAGTAAAGTATGTGATTATGATTACTAAATTGAAGAGTGTAGCTTTTTCCCCCCAGTGCTGGAGACTGAACTCAGTGCCAGGCAAGTGCTCTTCCACTGAGCTAAATTCCCAACCCCAGAATACAGACTTTTTATAGTTTTAAATCTATGTTATATATATCTCAATGTGTATTTCCCTAAATAGAATATTTGATGTGCAAATACTGTTTTCAGTAAATATTTTTACTCAAATACTTAGTTTTTGCCGTAACCATGTGTTGAGTGTTAGCCACTGCCTAGCATGCTGGGAACATAGCAATAACACATACAAATGAGCCACCTTGGAGCAGCTTCCTTTGCACTAGTGCAGGGATATGAGTGCTGTTAGACAGCCTTAGCTCCTTACATACTGGAGGTTTTAGTCTGTGGATATGTAAGAATTTGTGCCTTTGGTTTCTATGAGTTTGTAAGGCCTGCTTATCTACCCCCTCCCCTTGTCCCCAACCCTCATGGCCTGGCTACTGTGGAATCTAGCAGGGTATACTCTAGTAACCTCTCCAGAGAGAGTACAGACAAATGACCTTCCCCAGGCCCCTGAAAGGGCTATTGAGGGAGGTACTGTGTATTAGACCAAGCTTAGGTATTGTTCATTTGAAATATCTTGCTGCCCTTGTAATAGGGGATTGTGTCTGATACTATTCATAACGCCTAAGAAATTTATTTCCTTGTAAGTGACTAACATTTTTTTGTTGTTTTGTTTTTGCTTTGAAAGGTACTGTACCCCACGTTATAGTGAGTTTGAAGAGCTTGAGCGTAAATACTGGAAAAACCTCACATTCAATCCTCCAATCTATGGGGCAGATGTGAATGGTACTCTATATGAAAAGGTGAGGCTCACTGGAATCCCTCTGCAGAATTTTTGAAATTTTGCAATATAATACTGGCTTTTTCTGCCCAGCACTTAGTAGATACTTAAAAGCCGTTTGGTGAATGGGTGGATTAACAAATGAAGGATCTACCACCAACTGATTTGCTATTCTCACTTAATTATCAGTAGTTTTGCATGTGACTGAACTTTACTTCTTCTACCCTACATGTGAATTGGATGATATGGTGTTCTTTTCAAGGGCTGTTAGCATAGTCTGTGGGTGGTAGATGATGAGTTCTTGAAAGGATGGGGTGGATCACAGAAAATGAAATGATGGGGGAGAAGCAGTATGGTTTATGCAGAAAAAAGATCACTGACTAATCTAATGAAAGGGGGATATATTTAAGAAAAAAAACATACTTAGTTTTTCAGAACTCTCAGACAGGATTCTGTAGCAGAAACTATTTTGACCACTTGCCTTAGCTCAGGATATAGCCCTTTTTGCATAAAGAATTATCTTAGAGTTGGAAGTGTGGTTCAAGGGGTAGAGTGCTTTCTCCGCCTGCTCAAACCCCAATACTGAAGGGGAGTAAAATAAAAGAATTGCCTTAATATGGTGGAAGGGGAAGGGGGAGTACTCGGGACTGCCTTTGGACGATTAAATCTGTAAGGTTTTTCAAGGATTATTACTCCAATTGACTTTAAATTTTTCTAAATTAGTGGAATGAATTTAAAAAGTAAATTTTATGTTTATTTGCAATAGTTTCTTTGGGAAATAGAGAGTTAAGATTGTTAGGGATGAACGGGCAGGAAGATACTGTAAGGATCTGGGAAGGGCATAGTAATGCAGAACTTACAGGAGGCGGCTCCTGATTGGCCATTACAATTCAGGAAAAAGACATTGCCTAGTAGATACTGGGTTGTTGTAGTTAATCCCATGTTCTTGTTTGTTTGTTTCTTTTTTTTTTTTTTTTTTTTTAAATACAAGGTCTCACTTCATAGCTCAGGCTGCCTCTCTGCTAGAGTGTACGTTGCACCTGGCATTTCCAGGCGTTTTTTTTTTTGGTGCTGGGAAAAAAACAGGGTTTGTACTTGCTCGATAGCAGAACTGAACTACATCCTTAATTCTTCCCCCCCATTTCTGTTTCTTTTTATGATCTGTTTTTCCTTATTTGACCTTTCTCTGGCTTCAGTTCAAACTATTTCTCCTGTGGTTTAGAACTGGTGACTGTCACCTTTGTTTTTTTGGACTTTGAACTCAGGGACTCAGCTTTGCAGGCAGATGCTCTACCACTTGAGCCACACCTCCAGCCCAACTGTTACCTCCTTATTGGTAAACTACACTAGTATTGTTCAAAGTGGCATTTGCTCTTGGAGGCATAGTGGCGTCACTTCTGGTACTAGCTGTGGAAGTGAGTGAGGGGTGCCATGTTTTGACATTATTCCACATTTTGGTCAGAGGTCAAACCTTACCTGAGATCTCTACATTCCTTGGCAGCATGTCGATGAGTGGAATATTGGCCGGCTGAAGACCATTCTGGACTTGGTGGAAAAGGAGAGTGGGATCACCATTGAGGGTGTGAACACCCCGTACCTGTACTTTGGCATGTGGAAGACATCCTTTGCCTGGCATACAGAAGACATGGACCTGTACAGCATCAACTACTTGCACTTCGGAGAGCCAAAGTCCTGGTAGAGTCCGTCTGCAGTTGGTATTGGGCCTCTGCCAGCACAGGCTTCTCACCTTTCACAAGCCCGGAAAATGCCTAGCGCTTGGGTCAAAAAGTAGCCTTGGGATGGAACTAGCATTCTACATTTAAGGCACACTTTCAGGCCACCTTGACTAGCAAGACTTTATCTATCTATCTATCTATTTATTTTATTTATTTGTGGTTCTGGGGATTGAGCCCAGCACCTTGAACATGCTAGGCAAGCAGTCTACCACTTGAGCTATGTTCCTAGCCCTTTTTTTAAATTTTGTTTTTGAGATAGTATCTCAGGTCCAGTGTGTGGTTCAAATGGTAAAGCACATACCTAGCCAAGGCCCTGAGTTCAAACTCCAGTACTCCAAAAAAGAAAAAATAAATTAAAATAAAATAGATTATGATATCTTTTTTGCCTAGGCTGGCCTCAAACATGATCTTTTTGCCTCAAACATGATCTTTTTGCCTCTGTCCCTTGAGTGTAGGTATACACCACCACATTCGGCTTTTTTCTTCCTTTTTTTTTTGTTTTTTGAGGTAGTATCTCTCTGTGTAGTCCAGGCTAGCCTCAAACATTCCATTCTCCTGCATCAGCTTTCTAAGTGCTGAATTACAGTTGTGCACTTCCATGCCTGGCTGAGTAGTGATACTTCAGAGAACATGGCACTTAACACTTGTATAGAAGCTGTGGGGCTGTTCCAGGCTGTCCTGCTGCTTTCTGATCCATTCTTCTGAATAGGCCTGATATATTTCTTAAAGGCAGACTTTCAAGACTGGAATCATTATGTCAGATGATAGAAAGCTTTGCTTTGCTTTCCTCACGGAAAAACTATTTGGTGAGGAGCAGTATATGCTTAACACAAGAGGATCCTTGAAGCTATTCTTAACCTGTTATACCAGTCTTTTTGAGGTCACGCTGTCCTCTCCATGCATTGCCTCATCTTTCAGTCTTGGTGTTGTAGTGAGCAAGATACATGGTGCATCCACCCTCACAACAGATAGGAGACTAGTGAGGAGACAGCAGAAAGTGGAGAAAGTGACAATGCAGTGTGTGAAAAGTTCTGAAAGTGCTAAGGTTCATCCACTACATAGGAAGGACACGTGGGTGGGGTGGAGATTAGAGAAAGCTTCAAGAGGTGACAGCTCTTTTAGGTGAGACCTAAAAAATGAGAAGGCAAGAACTGAGGGAAGTGTGTTGTGTCAGTTGGAACCGTTGCAGAGTTGCTAGGTTGGCAGGGTACAGTGTGTTCTGGGAGTTAGTGCAAATCCACTGGCACTGTGTCCAAGATGAGTAATGAGTAGTAGGGTCAGAGAGGACACCATGCACTGGCTTATGAGTTGTGGAAATTGTATCCATCTTGGGTTTTTTTCCAGCATTTTCAGCCACAAGTGTTCCCAGGAGTTTTCCTTCTTTCAAATGCTTTTCAGTTTCTAATCTAGGTGAAAGAAGCCTTTTGAACCCATGTTACCCAGACCATTGTCCCATTGTCTTCTACTAGAGGATTGGGCTTGTAGAATCTGTTGGGGTCCCTTCAGTATCTTCATCATTTTTGACCCCAAAATTTCATGCTGTTGGATTTCCCATTTTCTGATTTGTAAAGAGAAGGGTTTTGGGCTAAGGATGTAACTCAGTTGTAAAGAGCTTGCCTAGGATGTGCAAGAAGGCCCTGGGTTTGACTCCCCAGAACTACATGAAAACAAGAGGTATTTTAGTTATTCTAGGTCATCCGAAGTTGGAGCTCCAGAGACTTCTATGCAAGTTAGCTTGGCAGATGCCAGGAACCTTTAGGTGGTATTCTCTGCTTGAGCTGAAAATTTTTGCTGTTGTGGAATAGCCCATTTTTTTCAGTTGTTGGGGGAGGGGTCTCACTGTGTTGCCCAGGTTGGCCTTGAGATTCCTCCGCTCAAGCAGTCCTTTTGTCTCAGTCTCAGCCGCCCCAGTACTGGGAACCCCAGGTGTATGCCACCTACCTAGCTGAAATAATCTTTAGTATAGATTTTAAGGTTACTGTGAGTTTCAGAATATAAATTTTAATAGTTTTGCAAAAGTTTTAATAGTCTTAAGTGTTCTCTTCCTCTCCATTTTTTATGAAGAGCAGCTTTTGTGATGTCAAGACACCCTAGCAGGTGGAGGAGTAATTAATTATTGGATAATCAGTACAGCTTTTATGGAGATGAAGGGAAAATGGGTTCATCAGCAGGTAAGGGGCCAAATGTCTAGGTGTGAATCCATCTCTGCCTTGTTTAGCATTTCTTTAGCCTCCCCCAATAAGGCCTTTCTAATTCTGCTGGGAGCATTTTAAAACACACCCAGGATATGTAATGCCACCCTCCCCGCACCCCTTTTAAAAAATTTTATTATATGAACACCATAATAAAGGAGACTTTTTGTACTATGAGTTTTGGTTCATGGTGAATATTCAATAAATGTCTTATTAAGTGGCAAATAGAAGAAATAAGTTCACTGAGAGTTTGTGTAGGCTCACATCTCCTTTGCTCTAGCAATCTAATATTCATTTTCCCAGATTCCTTTTTAGTTGTTGAACACTTTAAAAATTTGCTATTTTGCACAGCTGGACGTGGCTCAAGTGGTAGAGCACCTGGTCAGCAAGTGCAAGGCCTCGAGCTCAAACCCCAGTACTGCCAATAACAACAAAAAAAAGAATATGACATGGCTTTTTCATACCTTTTTTGACCCAGCACTTCATAAAACCCTCCTAAGGGTTTTTTTTGTTTTGTGTTGTTCTTTTCTTTAAGACAGGGTCTCACCATGTAGCTTAGGCTGGCTTCAAATTCATGATCCTCAAATCTCAGTCTCCTGGGTGGTGGGATTACAGGCATATGTCACCACACTCCACTTTCATTTCTATCATAATAATTGTACCTATTTATGGGGTATACTGTGACATTTTAGTACATGTATATAATGTGTAGTGATCAGGTCAGGGCAATTGGCATATCTGTCACAGCCAGTGCTTACCGTTTCTTTGTGCTGGAAACCATCAGGATCTCTGCTGACATCAAGATGATTTACAAGTGGATAAAACCCCTTAGTTTCTGTCCTTGTCCTCTGCTTAGTGTCTGATGATCTCATTTGATTGCAGGTACTCTGTTCCACCTGAGCATGGAAAACGGCTGGAGCGCCTAGCCAAAGGTACTGTCTCCTTCAGTGGTGGCTCAGGTCCTCCTATAAGCTCTACTCCTTGCTTTGTTTGAAATGTCCATTCTCTGTGGTTTGATCTTATGTGGCCTTTCATAGAGATGCAGATGGGGATGAGCTTGACTGCCTGATTGGGTACCATAGCAGAGAAGCTATAATCCTTTTTTTCTGCTTTGGCCAAGAAAGGACTTAGTCTTTTTTTCTCTGCCTCTCTTTGCCCCAGTCTCCCCAGCCCTGGGTTTCTTTGATCAGGAAAGTACACAAGTCATATTGGGTCAGGTTCTTCTGCCAAAACCACAAATGCTAAAGCCCCAAGTATAGGTTCTTTTGTGTGTAAGTGGACTTTGATAGACTTGTGCCTCCAGAGAGTCTATTTCAAGAAAGTTGGGGCAGATTATACTGTAGATGTGTTACTGACAAAAGATTAAGGATGGAACTAGTCTTTCAAGACTGCAGGAAGTCCTAAATAGTTTTCAGAGCTCTATAAGAGCAGAGGTAGCCTGAGTGATCTCAGTCCTCCAGAATTTGATTACCCAAATAATATTCTACAGGAGCTCAGATGCCCACTGTAGAATCTTAGAATCTGCCAGGCACTGGAGGGATTTGATCTTCTTATCATCCAGACAAAATAGACAAGTGTGAAGTGACTCCAGAATTGCAGAGCTGGTGTGGAGCATTGTATTAACCTTCACCTGTTATTCGTTCATACAGGCTTTTTCCCAGGAAGTGCTCAAAGCTGTGAGGCTTTTCTCCGCCATAAGATGACCCTGATTTCCCCTTTAATGCTGAAGAAATATGGCATTCCCTTTGACAAGGTGAGCTGATAGTACATGTGGAAATCCCCAGGCTTCCATAGAACCCATTTTTCCTGGTCTTTGCTTTACAGTTTTGACTTTGGCTCATCACTTCGCACTGATTAAAGTTTGGTGTGGTTTGATCTAAAGGGGGCCTTTAGTGTACCCCCCTGGTGCCAGGGGAGGGTCACATTCACTGCACAGTGTTAGTTTGGAAGAATGATTGATTATAGTCTTGCATGCATCCAATGTGTTAGGGCTTTGCAAGACCTTGGTGGTTTTCTCCCTTATCCTTAGTTGCTCAGCTAAGTGATGGTAAAGCCAGAGCTGAGGAGTTCAGTTCTATAAGCTTCTGTCATATGTGGCAGCTGCTTCAAGTCTTCTTTTGCTCAGGTGACTCAAGAAGCTGGAGAATTTATGATCACTTTCCCTTACGGTTACCATGCTGGCTTTAACCATGGCTTCAACTGTGCTGAGTCTACCAATTTTGCTACCCGTCGGTGGATTGAGTATGGCAAACAAGCTGTGTTGGTAAGTCTGCTTGAATTCCGCCTATAACATCACAACGAAAAATGTCAAGTTAAGGAAATTCTTGCTAGGTACTTTGGTGTTAGAATGTTTCTTTGCTGGAATTTGGAAACGGGCTGGGATTGTTCGTGAAGAATTTTTAAAAATTACTCAGTTTTGGGAAGTATAAAGTAAAGGTCCATACATAAGCACATTTGGCACTGAAACCAGACACACACACACACACACACACACACACACACACACACACATCGCTATTTTTTACAAAAAACCTTCTGAGATTTCTTTTTTTTATTTCTTTTTCCTTTCTTTAGTACTGGGGATTGAAGTCAAGACCTTGCGCATTCTAGGCAAATGCTCTACCTCTGAGCTATATTTCCTCAGCCCTTTTTTAAAATTTCATTTTGAGACAGGGTCTCACTCAGTTGCCCAGGCTGGCCTTAAACTTGCAATCCTCCTGTCTCATTCTGAGATTCCAGGACTGTGTAGATTTCTCTCTTGAAAAATCCTTAAGGGTTTACCTCTGTAGGCAAGTAGCAGGGCTAGAGCTTTAACCCAGAATAGTAGGTAGTAGGTTGGCTTGTGTGGTCCTGATCTGGAGAGCTGTCCAAGGGTAGATGGCTCTTGATCATACTAGGTTCTCAGTGTAGAGTTCCGTCTCTAATCACTCCTGTTAATGCTCAGGTGGACACACCCCTGTGCCATGCTTTCTCTGCACTTTTTTCCTGCTTCCCTCATGTGTGAAGCTCTGCAAGGACTTCTGTTGAGGGTGACTGTTTGGTCACTCTCAACCTGTGAACCAAAACAATTTGGTTTAAAACCATCTCATGCTTTTATCCACTTGGATAGTGGAGTTGGGATGTGTGGGGGTGAGATGGGAGCAGATATGGCATACTCATCTTCTCGTTTTTTGTGGCAGTGCTCCTGCAGAAAGGATATGGTGAAGATCTCCATGGATGTGTTTGTGAGGAGGTTCCAGCCAGAAAGGTACAAACTTTGGAAAGCTGGGAAGGACAGCACAGTTATCGATCACACTTTGCCCACCCCAGAAGCGGCCGAGTTTCTGAAGGAGAGTGAACTGCCCCCAAGAGCTGGGAGTGAGGAGGAGTGCCCAGAGGAGAACATGGTCGAGGATGGAGAGGAGGGAGACCTGAAGAGGAGGTAACTTGCAGCCCTGTAGGGTTCTTGGGGCAGGCACCAGGGCAGCTCCCACAGTCTGTGAAGAGACTGTTTCTAAGTGGGCAGTTTGAACCATACCTGAGGGAGTTTCCTTTTGGAAAGCTCCAGAACCTTTAGACCTGTAGTATTCCTGCACTTCCTCGAGGCTCTTTCCCAGGAACAAGGATAATAAGCTTGTAAGGTTCTGCCTGTGCCCCAAAAGTCACTTTTTTCCTCATCATTAAATTGGGGTTTTTGTTTGTTTGTTTGTTTGTTTTGGTGATGGTGCTGGGGATCAAACCCAGGGCCTTGTACATGCTAAACAAATACTTATTGCTAAGCCACATCCCCAGTCCAGGGTGGTTGTTTTTTTTTTTTTTTTTAAAGGAGAGCATGGTGATGGAAACAAGGCCTATGAGCACAGGAGTAACGCAGATCTAAGTCTGCTGGCATTGTCAGAGTCTGAGCTACAGGATCTGTACTCTGAGAAGAATTTGTTGTGGAAGATGATTGATGGAGTATGTAGTGTAGGCCAGGTGCTCTGCTGGACACTCTACAAGCCTCTAAAATCCTCATAACAAATCTGCAAAGTGCATGATACCTGTACTTTTCAAATAATGGAATGAGCTCAGAGTGTGAAGTTCCTTGAAATGGTCACACAAATAAGATGTGGCCCAGAGTTTTCAACCCTGATCATTTCATTTTGGGTTGTGTGTGGATGAGTTTGGGTAAGTGGTAGTGTATGAGTTCTTACAAGGTTTGCCCTCTTCCTTGCAGCCTGGCCAAGCACCGTATAGGGACAAAGAGGCACCGGGTTTGTCTTGAAATACCACAGGAGGTGAGTCAGAGTGAGCTCTTCCCCAAGGAGGAGCTGAGTTCTGGACAGTTTGAGATGACAGAGTGTCAGGCTGCTCTTGCCCCCATGAGGCCCACCCACAGCTCTGTGCGACAAGTTGAGGATGGCCTACCCTTTCCAGGTGAGTTGACTGTGGTGCTTTTTCCACAATCTTAACCACTACCTATCTATTATGTGCTTGATGCTATATTGAATGCAGGGTCAGAATTAAAAGAGGAGAGCGAGGTTTGTGAGCAGGACTGTAACTGAAGTCCGAGAAGCACTTTGCTTGAGGATATGTAGGATGGACCAGGCACAGAACAAAAGGCTTGTCTCCTTGGCTGGTGAGGGGCCAGGGAAACACAGAAGGCTCTGGTGAAGGTGACTCTGAGTTAATAAGATAGGGAGATAAGCATGGACATCTTAGGAGAGGCTGGGAAAGGCCTGATGATGGGAAGCTGCACAATGATTTCTGGTGGCGCTAGTCACCCTGTCAATTGGCTATTAGGGATGGGAAGAATGGAAGGTAGTGATGTGGCCAGGAAATGAGGCTAAAGAAAGTAAAGAGATGATGTAGGGCTGCCTGCCATTTTATTTTTATTTTTATTGATTGATTTTGAGAAAGGGTCTTGCTATGTAACTCAGGCTTGCCTACAACTTACTATAGCCCAAGCTGACCACAATCTTTATTTTTTTCCCTTCCTTCCTTTCCCTCCTTCCCTTTCCTATCTGTTCTGTTCTTATCCTTTGCTTTTTCTTTCCCTTTCCCTTGCCCTTTCTTTCTTGTTGTACTAGGTTTTGATCTCAGAACTTCATGTTTGCCAGGCAGGTGCTCTACCACTTGAGCCATTTCACCAGCCCTTTTATGTGTTTGTTATTTTTGAGATAGGTTCTCACAAACTGTTTGCTTGGTTTCGAACTGCAATCCTAGTAACTAGGATTACAGTAATCCTAGTAATCCTGATCTAGTAACTAGGATTACAGGCATGAGCCATCGGTGCCTGGGTTTTTAAAAAATTTTGGGGGTCTTTCTATATGTAGCTTAGGCTGGCCTCAAACTTATTGATCCTCCTGCCTCAGCCTTCTAAGTTCTGGGATTACAGGCAAGTACCAGCATGCCCCCATTATTTAATTTTTTTGATGGGACTGGAGTTTGAATTCAGGGCTTTGTGCTTGCAAAGCAAGTACTTTACTGCTTGAGCCACACATTGCCCTGGTTGTTTTGGAGATGGGAGTCTCATGAACTGCTGTCCTCCTGATCTCTGCCTTCTAAGTAGCTAGGATTACAGGCATGAGACACTGGTGCCTGCCTCCACCTTTATTTTTTGGCACCACTGGAGTTTGAACTCAGGGCTTGATGCTTGCTAGGCACGCACTCTTACCACTTGAGCCACTCTGATAGCACCCCCGCTCCCTTTTTTTTTTTTGTGATGGGTAGGGTGTCATGAACTATTTGCCTGGTGCAGGCTTCGAGCCTCCTGATCTCTGCCTCCTGAGTAGCTAGGATTATAGATGTGAGCCTCTGGTACCCAGCTCCACTTTAATTTTTTTTGAGACAGGGTCTTGCTTTGTAGTCCACACAGCCTTGAATTCCTGATCCACCTGACTCAGTCTCCCAGTTGCCAGGATTATACACATGTGCCATCACACTTGGCTTATTTAAAATTTTTAATTGACATAGTATGTGTATATAGTGTGCAATGATTAAAGTTGGAGTCCCTGACTTTAGAGTTTGTTCACTTGGAGGCTGGATCAGCCATGTGTGTTTGAAGAGACTGGTGTGGTCAGCAGTGTTTACAGCAGTTCCTGAGGTTGAATTTGTTAGGAAAGGGCCTGTCAGTTTGAGGCATGCTTGAAATCTGTTTTTGATGCTGTGCTATGTCTGCTGCCAGCCAGATAACACTGTGGATTTGGACCCTGAGGCTGACCTAGCTTCTCCTTAGCAGATTTTCTATCTGGGGGTAGCCAGGACCCTTCTGCATTTGCTGCAGGGGACTTGTGGGGAAATGGCAGCTGCCACTTGCTGATTTCCTGCTGCATGCATGTTGTACCCCACTTATACCTAAGAGTTGGGTTTAGGGCCCTGAAGATAAATGGTGATACCCTTATGTGACATAGAGGAAAAAACTGGAGGCCTGAGAGGCTGAACAGTTAGCCCTGATACACAAAGCCCCTGCCAGTGACAGAGCCAGGACTTGAAGCCAGTTCTCAAACGCAGCCCATGTTCTTCTTGCCACTCTGCCTTCATCAAATTCACACATACAGGATGAACTTGGCTCTATCTGACTTGTTTATGTGTTTCAGATTACTCTGACTCCACTGAAGTCAAATTTGAAGAGCTCAAAAATGTCAAACTAGAAGAGGAAGATGATGAAGAGGAACAAGAGGCAGCTGCCCTGGATCTTTCTGTGAATCCTGTTTCTGTAGGGGAACGCCTTATCTTCTCCAGTTCCCAAAAGAAGTCCTCTTCTAGCCTGGGCTCCAGTTCTTCTCGAGATTCTGTTTCTTCTGATTCAGAAACCAGTGAGCCTCTCTCTAGCCAAGCCCAAGGGCAAACAGGAGTTTTCACTGTGCACAGCTATGCCAGAGGTGATGGAAGAGTCACTGTGGGAGAGCAAGTCATGAAGAAGAAAGGCAGCACCCCCAGAAGTATCAGTGAGCAGGAGTTGGCAGAGGTATGAGATCTGCACAGTGGTGTGGGGGGCTCCTGCACTAGAAGGCATCATATGAAGGATGGGGACCTATAGGGTGGAGGTGCTCAGATATGTATGAGGGCAGGAAAGCAACAACCCTCTCTACCCCTAGTGCCTCCAGCCTGCACTAGGTGTGTCAGACAGAAGACCAGGTGATGTTCACTGTTTTCCAACTTGTTCTCTGACCAGAGGATCCTCTGTGTCTAGAGAATTGCATTGCACCAGTATCTTCAGGGACAATAGCAGATCCTAAACCCATTTAGATCACAATGGTGGGGACAGGAACCCTTCCTCTGACCCTCCTTGCCTTAGCAGCGCAAGGGTCAGAATGGCAGCAGTTGCCAAATGTTCAAGAGTTTGGTGTAGATGGCCTTTATTACTCTAAAATTCAAGGGTATTTTTCTTCAAAATCTTGATTGCCCTGTGGAGTACCAGTATATCATTGATAGAACATCCTTTTGGCCATCTGGAGGAATTCTCAAAGCCATAAATGTGAATATGTTTAGGCTTCCTTCTAAGTACATGCTGTCACCTGTTGGTTTTGTACAAAATAATTTCTGGTGGGTCTGCCACACCTACAGGGATACAGAGAGCCATGTTAGTTGCAGCTGACTCTTGTTATCCATCTGGCTTCCTTGTTATTCCTTGACTTCACAGCATTACATGGGCCCTGTCACATCTGGTATAAGTGGTGGTACATAGTAGAAGTCAGTGCAGAAGGCCCTTGAGGTTTTGGATTTCCTTAACTTTTTTTGGAGGAGGTACTAAGGATTATACATGCTAAGTACATGCTCAACCACTGAGTTATGCCCCATCCCCTCAATTAAAAAAAAAAAGTTTGTGTCTTAAAAGTTCTTTTTCTTTTTTTGGGCAGTTCTGGGGCTTGAACTCAGGGCTTCATGCTTGTTAAGCAAGTGCTCTTCCACTTGAGCCACTCCATCATCCCGTTTTTGGGTTGGGTATTTTTGAGGTAGGGTCTCATGAACTATTTTGCTGGGGCTGGCCTCAAACAGTGATCCTCCTGCATGAGTCACCTGCACCTAGCCTTAAAAGTTTTTATTAGAAACGTTTTCTAAAGTGGATACCATAAAGGCCACCACGAGCCCCCATGTGTACTCATTGTCCATGTATAATTGTTACCATTTGGCATATTTTCTTTACATTTTCTTGGACTGAGTACTGACACTTGTCCCTTTGTATGGTTGGTTTTTTCTTTTGTCTTTAATATTCAGACTCTTTGCCTTCTCTGAGTCTCAGGGCTCAGTTTTTGTAGAGTGACTTTTAACCTGTGAAAGTTCCTTTCTCCAACTCACAGTGGTTGTTGGCTAATGAGCTAATAACCATGTTTCCTTTTACACTGCCTCTGATTGCTGCTCTCTGTGCCCTCTTATGGCAACTTCCACCAGAGAATGAGGTGGCAGGTGCCACCTGGCTGCTCTTTCTGACAGCCCCTTGAGCCACCTCCTTCATCCTTCCGTGGTGCTACAGTAGGATGTTCCTGCAGTATCATCTGACTTTCTTGCCATAAGGTGCAATTAAAATCACAAAAGCTGCTAAGAAGCAAGGACTTACTATGTACTAAATACTTTGTATACATTCTTCAATCTATGTATTACTGCTTGATTAATTTTATTAGAGTCAAATGTTTTTGTGGATTTTTTTTGGATAGGGTGCAGAGTCAGTAAATAGCAGCCATCTTTTTTTTCTCCTAAATTTGGAGTCAGTTAAGTGATGAATACAAGAATCAGACATAAAGAGTTTAGCATGTCACTTTATTTTCAGTTAACATGACTGAATAAGTGGTACTCACTGTCAGCTAGACAGATGACCTATCTAGGCACAAGCAGTCTTAGATGTCAACAGGCCCCTCATCGGAGCAAAGCATTTCATTCAGTGTATACTTGGTGAGGACTCAGACCAGCATGCACTCCCCCTGCAGAAGGCAGATCATAGCCAAGTGATGCACACTTAACATCCGAGAGTAGGAGAGAAGCCAGGAAGCCTTTTGCATGGAAATCCATAGGGGAAGGAGGCTTCTCTCTAACATGCCTCTCTTCAGTCCTATGCTCAAAAGCCCACAGTTCCTTCCTGGCTCTTTCTCATTTCTGTGTGGATTGTCAGCTGCATCCTGATGGTAAGGCCCTTCTCTTCCCTATCATCAGCCATTCTCCATGTTCCAACTGATTTGAACTATTTAAAATTTTCCCAAAACATCTTGGCTGTCAGCCTCTGCCCTCTCCTTTGTGATCATTTATGGCCTGTGTACTGTCAGCCAGGACTGTGCCTTCAAGGAACTGAATTAAGATTGTGAGAGTGGGCCAGGAGCCAGTGGCTCATGTCTATAATCCCAGCTACTCAGGAGGCATAGCTTCAAGGAACTCAGAAGCTCATTGGGAAGAGTAGATGGGTAAGTGCACAGACCTCCAGCACTTTCTAATTGGAAAGAGCTGGCAATTTAGCCTGGAGTTGGGCTGAGCAGTTCACAACAGCTATAGAGGAGGAGGCTTATCCTGGAGGAGTATCCAGGTGGATAGAAGGAGTTCAGCGTAAGAATCTGGGAAAGGCAGTTGTGATAGCCCAAGGTCAAAGCACATGGGGGTCTTCACAGCTTTAGGTTGTCTTGAACATATAGAGCAGGAAAGGGCCTGGGACAAGATTAGAGGGGGTCGAGAACTAGAATGTGGGGGCTTGCCTTGTATGCTGTGAAATAACTGGGCTGTGGTGTGGGGAGCCCAAGCTAGCCTCAAGCCACACAGCTTTGCCCATCTTTGAAGAGGTCTGATAAATATTGTGTCTACGTTTGGAAACAGCTGGGTTCCTGAGAGCACCCTCATGTTTTCCCACCCCCATTTTAGGATCCCCCGCAGATGGGCTTGTTGTTCAGTATATTTGCTGCCATCTATGTCAAGGTCCTTTTTTAGGGCAGTCTGGTAAGCTGCGGTTTTGGAAAAAGTGCTCTGATTGATGCACCAAAAGCCGGGAAGCACCAAAGTCATGACATTGTGTCTGCCCGCAGAAGTTCTAGTTAGAGAAGCTGCTTTGAAAGAGTGAGTTCCCAAAACAGGGCTGGAGAACAGTTGGTTCTTCTCTGTCAGAACAAGCCTTCTCAGAAATGTTCACCTTGACTCTGGGTGCCAGATGTTAGACAAAGGAACAGAAAATTCTCAACCTTTGATCCCCAACTCTCCTTTAGGCTGGGGCCTGGAACATTCTGCCCACTGCCCTATCCATGCGCACAAAGAGCCCTTTGGAGCAGGGTTCATGACCTTTTTACTGGTGGCATTGCTGTGTGCCCAGGTTCAAGTGTGAAAAGGTACTTAACATATTTGAACAGACCTACCTGTTTTTGTCAGGTTGAATTGGTAGTGGAAAGGACACAGACTCCACACTGGGACACTGATTTTCCTGTGGCTGGATTGTAAGTGCCTCATGGACAATCATGTGTCATCCAGGACACCAAACAGTGTATTGGATATGGATGCTGAGGATATAGGAGATATAGGGGACACTTTGAATGAACAGATATTGATTAAAGTATCCTCCCCCTGTCCAAAGCTGCAGTCTGCTATTTCTTGTTCTTGACTCCTGCTTCCTCTAGTACTTGGATCTATAAAATGATCTGTCTCTCTCTAATGCCCTATTATTTTCCTATTGCTGCTATAACAAGTTAACACAAACTCAAAGGATTGAAAGAACACAAGTTTATTATTTTATAGTTCTTGAATTCACAGTGGTTCTCACTGAGTTAAAATTAAAGTGTCAACCGGGCTATGTACCTTCCTGGGGCCTTACAAGGGGAGTACATTTACTTGTCCTTTCCAGCTGCTGCAGGCCATTCTCATTTTTAGGCTCATGGCTCTCATCCACCTTTAAAGGCAGAAGCATCTAGCCAAGTTTTCTCAAATCAGGTCAGACTCTTCCATCCTGTGTTAAGTGATGTAGTGATTACATTGGGCCCACTGGATAATCCAAGATAATCCCATTTTAAGGTCATCTGATTAGCAACCTGAATTGTCCCATGTCATGTTAACATAACATAGAGATTAGAATATGGACATCTTTTGGGGACCATTTTTCTGTCTACCACATATCTATCTCCCTTTCACAAGCTCCTTTTCCTCTTTTGGCTATAAAACCATACTCATATAGCCCTTATCTTAAAATACAGTTTTAGAGGACATTTCCTTCTCAAACTATGATCTCATTCCTTCTCTTGCCATGTGACGTGTTCACTTCTTAGTACCTTACTGTGTATTGGAACTAATCTCAAAAATAAGTTTACATACCTCCCAGTTTGCAAATGCTTTGGACACTTCTCTGCTTAGCTCTTCCTCTGTCCTTTGTCACTGTAAATATCCCTCTCTTTGAAGCTATCTCCTCCTTGGCTTTCTAGAATTCCTTTTACCTGTCTGCTTCTGAATCTGTTCTTGTTTTTGTCTTCCTATGCTGGTCTTCATTCAGTTTATCTATCACCAGTAATCTTACCCACTCTTATAATCTTTTTGTGTGTGTGTGGGGGGGTACTGGGGTTTGAACTCAGGGCCTACACTTGAGCCACTCCACCTGCCCTATTTTTGTGAAGGGTGTTTGAGATACGGTCTCACGAACTATTTGCTCAGGCGGCTTCAAACTGCGATTTTCTTGATCTCTGCCTCCTGAGTAGCTGGAATTACAGGCGTGAGCCACCAGCTGCCAGCCCACATCTTAATTCTGTTGTTTTGGTTTTCTTCCAAATGGGGGTCTATGTTGTCCAGGTTGACTTCTAACTCATGGACTCTTTTTGCCTCAGCCTCCCAAGTGGCTGGGACTGCAGGCATGCACCACCTTACCCTACCACAACTTTAATTATGAACCTGATGCTTAGGATTCCCAAGTCTACATCTCTTGTCCTGACCTCTTTTCTGAACCCCCTGTCTGAACTGCTTACATCCCTACCCTGGATATTAATAAATTAAAAACTCATAGATTCATGTCATGTGAATCTCATGTTGTATGTTTAACTTGGTTTGTTGTTAGACCTCCATCCACATGGGTCCTTTAATTATCTATCACCTTTGTGATCCAGGCTACAGATCCCCTCCATCTCTGCCTCTTCTATTCTCATCTCTTTTCTTCCCAGTCTCTGCCACATCCCAGGTTTAGGCCTATTATGTAGATGTCTTCATAGTAGGAAATGCAAGAAGATTATTGAGGTATAGAAATAAAATAAAATGAACTTCATTTTTATCTTACCCTTTTATAGGCTATTTTTATTTTAAAAGATGTGCATAAGGGCATTAGTATAAATAATTTATTAGCAAGTGTACGTAGATTGGGGTTCATGGTCCTAAATTCATTCACAAAGTAACAGTATCAAAGAAATTTGGCGATTATGGGTATTCCAGTTTGTTTTAGTTAAAAAAAAAAGAAAAAGAAAAACCACCCTTTTAAAAAGTAAAAACTGACTTTTTAAAAAGCTTTTCAAAAGCTTTTGGAAAGGAGGTAGGGCCTAGAGTCCTTCCTGTTCTTCCCATTGGAGGCTCCCAAAGGGCCTTACTGGTTTATATTTTTTCTTTTTGCAATGCTAGGGATTGAACCTGGGACTCTGTGCATGCTAGGCAGGCACTCTAGTGCTAAGCTACCTCTCAACCTCCTGATGTACATTTTGGGAACTAATGCTTTAGATAATCCATGTAGTGCAGGTCTGATTGACAGGCTGTGATTTGTGTAAGTCTTCACTGAAAACAGTAGCAACAGGGCCCAGTATCCTACTCCACCATGTTCCTGCACATGGCTGCACGTCACTTATTTGTGTGCCCCCAGATAATCATCCTGTCAGTCCATTGCTTCATACCTCCTTCCCTTTCTGGGCAGGCCATTGCACATAGTCCATGCTCAGTAAACATTTAGAGAATGTAATGGTCACAGAAACCTATGGGTAAAATTTATGTTTGATGATACAGACTCTATTCTGCCTAAACATGGCCTGCACAGAACTTGTTTTGTCTTGAGATCCCAAATGTGGTCCTTAAAACTGCAGGGTTCTGTGTAAGGGAACATATAGTTGGAGGACCCAGGGTACCAACTCTGATATGGCACGGCAGTTTCCACACTTCTCTGCAGCACCCTGAGGCATTAGTTTTTGTCACTGTTGCAAAGTGGCCCTGTTGCAGGCTTCATTTCCTTGCTTAATGAATTCTGCCCAACTCTGTGTCTCCTAATGTCAATATAACAATGTAAGTATGTTGATTAAAAAGAAACTCTTCTGTAGTATTAAGTCAATCCTGTGCACCATAATCCTAATTATGTTTGCTCTGCTTATGTGAAAATGCAGCCTTCCCTTTGCAGCTAGACCAGAGGTTTAGATCCACTCTCTTGGTTAGTGTTCTCCGCTGGGAAGGAATTAAGTGTCCACAGAGCAGAGGTCTACGTAGTGTGTAAGGAGAAGCTGGCCTGCTTAACTTACAATGACTCTTGTGTCCCTCACCCCTTTGGATATCTTCTAGACTTCCAAACTGGATGACCCCACTGCCTGGCACATTGACCTCTTGGTCAAAGGAAAGGGCACTTGGGCTCTTCTGGGGCTCTCAGATATGTCTCACTACTGTGATCTTAGGAAGGAGGGTGCCTGGCTCTCCTTTAGAATAGAAGGTTGGTTTTTGATGTAGTTGTTTCAGACTGCTTTTGACAAGGACAGGAACCATACCTTACTTAGCACAGATTTTGCCCTAAAAATCTAAAATAAGCCTGGTGTAGACTAGTTTGCATGGTATAGTCATTTAGCTTTTTCTAAGACAGGTATTGTTTGTGTTTAGATTTACATTTCTGTGTTCTTTCCCCTTCTCCTCTCTTCCTCTTGGTTTCCTCCCTGCCTTCCTCTCTGCTTTCTTTCTTTCCTTTTCCCTCCCTAACCTAGGCTTCCCTCAAAGTCAAGATCCTTCTAAATGGACTGGGAGTATACCTCAAGTGGTAAGAGTGCTTGCCCAGGAAGCACTAGGCCCTGCATTCAATCCCTGGTACCAAAAAAAGTTTAAAAGGTCCTCCTGACTCAGGTTCCTCACTGCTGGGATTATAGGCCTACCGTTCCTACCGCTGCTTCGATTCCATTGTAAGACTAACTGCTGCTACCTGTTAAGTTGAATCCATACCAATCTGATTTCCTCTGCTTTGCTCAGGTTGCAGATGAATACATATTTTGCCTGGATGAGAATAAGAAATCCAAGGGTCGCCGGCAGCCCTTAAGCAAGCTCCCCCGCCATCATCCACTTGTGTTACAGGAGTGTGTCAGTGACGATGGTAAGTGTTGTTGTTTCCTCTTCATTAGGAGAAAAGCAGCTCACCACAGTGGAACTTGCTCTGACAAGGACATCAGAAAGTCAAGCTTAGGGGTGAGGGTGGGTCTGGCTTAGCTGTTCTCCCAGATACTCCATACAGAGGATAGGACTTCCTTTTATACTGAATTTGCTAATCAGATTTCATTATCAGTTTGAGATTCATGGAATGTACTTAATACGGGATAATTGCATGCAGGTTCTTTCCTTTCTTCTCCTAGGAGGTACAAGGCTGATTTTTCAGGATAGCAAATTCTGTCAATGATGCCACGCCCTGTGCTGGATGTGTGGATACAAAGCTAATAAGATATGTCCGTGCCCTCAAGACGCTCACAGGGTAGTGGGGCAAACTGACAGGTAAATAGATCTAAAGAAAGGATGCTTATCCAGGCTGAGGGGACAGCATGAGCAACCATGGAGAAGAGAGACAGTAGCATATATGCTTCAGCTCCTTGTGGCTAGAGTTCAAGAGCAAGGCTAGGGAGTGAGAGGTGGGGTAGGAGGAGCAAGGCAGGAGTGAGGCCAGAGTACATATGAGCCCAGAATGAGGACCTTTTCTCATAGGTACTCAGGAGCCATTGAAGTGTTTGAAGCAGAGGAATGACATGGTCATATTGATATTAGAAAGACTGCTCCTAGAGATGGCGTCTTGAGGAGGACTTTGAGAGGACCAGGTGGGCTTTAGTAATATTCTCTGTGAGATACGGAGGTCTGAACTAGTATGGTGGTGGGAGGGATGGGAGCAGGGACTGTCATGAGGACATAGTCATTACACTTAGTGACTTGCTGTGGAGCTGTGAGATAAGTTCATAAGGGATAAAAAGCCTCCCCTCCCTGGTTTGTAGCTTTGATTGGGTTTTGGAAACTTGAATCCAGTGAGTGTGTGGAGGATGTAGACTTGGGGATGGCATAGTGACGGTATTTCATATCATTATTATAGAATAAAGGACATTCATGGAGAAGGCAGAAAGGGGTGAACAGAGGAAGCTGGGGAGCCTGTGAAGGGGACAGAGAGGGGAGCTAAGAGACTTATGTAAGGAGAAGTGGGAAGTGTGGCACTGAAGCTTGGGGGGATCGCCAACAGCTGAGAGTGGTCTTTTGAGCTGCCTGGAGCCCAGGATCCAGAAAGAAAAGTGCTGAATCCCTCCTGATCTGATGTCAGAGCTCCATCTCTGCAGTTGTCCTTGGTAGGACAACTACCATGATAGCTGGTAGGGGAACAGCCCCAGAGATACTATTATTGCCAGAAGAATGACCAGACCCCCTGAATCAGGTCCTAGGAGATCCTATGTGTTTATACTCTGGCCCAGCCAGGAGCTTCAGCATAGTTGTGTGATTTCTCCTCCTAATGCATTAAAGTAGCACAGATTATAGAAAACTGGAAAAGCAGAAAAAGTTATGAAGAGGGAAGGAAACTTACACGTACGCCTACCCTGCAAAGATGAACACTGTGAGTGTTTAACGTATCATCTCCCTGACTTTTCTAGGGATACATAAATGTGTCCAGGTATGTCTTTTTAAAATAACATAATTGAGATCATAATATAACCTCCCCAAACTTTTTAGATGAAAAATGTTAGAATGTAGCAAATTGAGGAAATGGAGCCATTATGTGCTCTCCACATGTGTTCAAGAATTGTTACCTAATACTGTCACTGTAAATTTGCCTTACTGCTTTCTAGCTCTCTTTGGCTTCATTTTTACACAAACATACCTGTCTGCTGCATCTTTTCAAAGTAAGTTGTGGTCATTAGGTCACTTTTAATACATCAGTAGGCATCTCCCAAAGAGGAAGTCCCCTAAATAAACAATATGCTGCTGTCTTGTTATTACACTTAGGACAATAAGCAATAGCTCTGTAATGCCCTCTGATCTCTAGTCCTTACCTATCTTTTCCTGGTTGTCTTAAGCTTTTTTCTCTTTAAATTAATGTAAACCAAACAAGAATTGCACAGGTTATTCTTTGGTTTGTGTTTTTTTTGGCTGTACTGTAGTTTGAACTCAGGGCCTTATGCTTGCTAGGCAGGTGCTCTACCACTTGAACCACTCTGCCAGCCCTTTTTTGTGTTGGGTATTTTTGAGATAGGGTCTCATGAGCTATTTACCTCTATCTCTGCTTCCCAAGAAGCTAGGATTTATAAGCCTGAGCCATGGGTGCCTGATAAACATACTGGGTTTAGAAGTTAGGTTTCTTTAGTTTCTTTCAGTATAGTATACTACTCCCCCACTTTTTTGTTTTGTTTGTTTTTTGTTTTTTGTTTTTTTGAGAAAACTCTCACAGCGTAGCCAAGTCTGGCCTGGAACTCACCATCCTGCTGCTTCAGCCTACCAAGTGCTGGCATTATAGGCATGCACCATCATGCCTGGCTTCCCCCACTTTTTAAAAAAAGCATTTTCATTTGAGGTTTAACATTTTTAGTGAAATGCACACATCTTGACTGTAAGCCTTTGTAAAGCTTTACATATATAAACTGTTAAAATTTGGATTCCTGCAATTTACTTAACACAGTGAACATTTTTCTTCATCATTCATTTTTCACACATGGAATGATTTTGGCCACTTTTCACTTTGTAAGTAGAACAGATGTCAGGGTGCTAAGTTTTTAGTTATGATTGTGAGTCTGTCTGTTTCTATTTCTTCCATCAATTGTGGTCCCTTTTATTTGGGCCAGGCTCCATGGCTCTTGACTGGACCTGAACAATGGGGCTTTTGGGAGTTGATTATACTTGTCTGCATTGACCTCCTTACGCTACAGTGGCCTTCACTGAAGCTGCACACAATGGCAGCTGCCAGATCCTTTTAGATTCAACCTACTGTGAAGGCAAAATAGAAAACTATTTATCTGTGCTGAGCTATACAGTTGCCAGAAGTAAACAAATAGGCACCTAGTGCAAGTATGTCCCCCAGAGCTTTCCCTGGGGCATTTTGCAGAGATCTCCTTGGGAAGTGCTTTCATCTGAGAAATGAGATCACTGAAGGGGTTGTAGCTGGGGATGTCTGCATGGAGTGATCCCCTTTGATGCCTTATAGGCCATCAGAGCTAGTCTTCTGTTGGGTACCACATACTTGGGCTTGCTTTGGCCATATTTGGCAAGGAAGGATATGGTAAATGTGGCATCTCATCCTCTCTTTGCATTTCCCCACACCACATCAGTAGTCTGTTTTGTTATTTGCTTCTACCACTCCCTCACTCACTCTAGGCATTATCATGGGTCTTCCTTACTCCCCAACCTTGTGTGTGCAGGTAGACTGTGTACCTTTATCACTTCCGTGTTGTTTCATGAGCAAACTTCTATTGTTTTCCATTCTTTAGTGTGTCCCATTCTTCTGGAAAATGCATCCATCGAGGAATTTTCTTCCCTGGTTGGTGGTGAGGGTAGCTGAGCTGTGTGACCTGACGGCTAGGGAATCTAAGATAGACTAGAAAGTCATCTAGACCAGTGCTATGTGAAGTTAATATTGTAGGCTTTGTAGTACTTAATGGTCTCTGGAGTCCTCATTGTTTTTCCTTCTCCCCCAATCCTTTAAACATGTAAAAACAATTCTAAGCCTTTGGAATGAGCCAGATTTAACCTGTAGGCTGTCACATACCAGCCAATGGTGTAGACTTAACATCATGTTTTATGGCTGGGAAGAGGATTCATGCCTTTCTCTGAGTCAGAGCCAGGAAGGACTGGGAAGCCCTGCCCAGAATAGTCAGTTATCCCTTGGACTTTCCAAAGGGAGCTGGAAAGCCCTGATCAAGAACCATGATGTAACAACTTTTAAGCTTTGCCAATTTCATTATTTTCCCTCTCCATTTCTCTCTAGCTCAATTAAAGGGAAATTCTAAAATGGAAAGAACTTAACGTGCTGTATTTTGGAGGCAGCAAATACATATTTTTGTTTGTTTGCATGGCAGTGCTTCATTCTGTTGCCCTTGGAGAGGGCAGAGGGTTGAACGTGGCAGCTGTTAAGCAAAAGGAAGAGTAGAGACCATCAGTCAGTCTGACCAGAAAAATGGGTACAGGCTGTACTCCCTATAACATTATCTAGGTATTGAGACTCTTGGCAGTCACTTTTGCCTTTGGCATTTATCACACTTAGGAATCTTGGTTTTAGTCCAAACCTAGAACCTGGAGTCCTGACTGAGCTCCTTTGCTCTCCAGGCAGAACCTCACATGTGCTGGATTGGTGCTACTTCATATTTATGTTTCCTCTTCTAGACTCATCTGAACAGCTGACCCCTGAAGAAGAGGCTGAGGAGACAGAGGCTTGGGCCAAGCCCCTCAGTCAATTATGGCAGAATCGACCCCCAAACTTTGAGGCTGAAAAGGAATTCAATGAGACCATGGCCCAGCAGGCCCCACACTGTGCCGTCTGTATGATCTTCCAAACCTACCATCAGGTAGGCCCACTCTGTCCCCTGTGTTCCCAGAACCAGCAATTAGAGGAAGCTGGATTTATGGGTACATAGCTTGTCACTGGTTCTCCTGATCAGAGCTTTGTTCCCTAACATTTTCTGTCCCTTTCCATGACTAATAAATGTTGGTCATGGGTTGCCAGGCAGATAACCCAACAAAGAAGGTTTTCACTTGAGAATGTTTGGAGTCAATGTGGCTCAGGGTCCCACTGTACATGTGCTCATCACAGACCTCACTGCTGGCAGGTCTGCTTTTCAGTTATCATCCTAGTCTGTGGCTGTTCTTACAAGGCAGTGTGTAGGCCACCAGTTAGGTGCAGGACTAGAGGGTTTTAAAAAAAAATTTTTTTTTTTTTAACTTCCACTCTCTGACTTTCAGGTGAAAAGCCAGATTCTCTCATGTTGTCACCCTCACTACTTTCCCATTGTCATCATGAATGTTTCCATTGGCAGAAGGAGCTATGGTGGGTGGAAGCAGAAAGCCTGATGGGAGTGAGGGGTGGGAAACACAGTTGCTAGCTCTGCCCTTCTCATGCTGGCATTGGTGGCATCACCTTCATAGATCCCTTTGGATCTAGCTCTAAGAAGTCAGGAAGGCATTCACTTGCTCAGTTGGGACTCACATAGGACGGCAGATAAGCAAGAAGTCCTTCTGTGATGGTTAAGTGGCATGGTTGCCCTGAGCCTGGCAGGGTACCAGGTTCATGCTTGCTGAAGGATGGAACCTAAGACCAACACAATGGATTAGTAACTCACTACTTTTCCATTGATAGAAAACACACCAAAGAATTGTATGTGCCATGGTTTGTGAGGGAAGTAACCGGCCTGGTTGTTTCTGTCAACGGCTCTACAAAGTAGGGGCCAGAGTTTCACGAACGGCATAGACCCAGAGATTGACATGTTTCTGGGCTCTGTCGTTAGAGTGGGGATAATGGTGCCATGCAGCAGCAGAACCAGCAGATTTATTTGTAGTTGTTAAAGTTTGCCAGGGGAAGTATATGGACGGGCCTAGAGCCAGGAATCACATACGGGGTTCCAGCATGTAACAGTGCTACAGTTCAGGGGACCTGACATGGACCTGCAAAGGGAATCAGTGCTGGCCCATTAGCATCTGTTCTGGGTGCTGTCCCTGAGTGGGGCTACCATGTGGTATGGCACCTAGGGGAACTCACAGTGGCAGCCATACTGCTAACATCTCAGTGCATTTTATTACCACTTGGTTTGGAAAAATTGAAATCCCAGTTGCCTCTTACCTTGCTCCCTTTTCTCAGTTGTCCCCTAGGGGCCTTTGTTTGATGCTGCTGTGAGAAATTGAATTTGAGTCATTAGAGGTAACTTCAATTAGTAGCTCTGGGATAATGGCTGTGCACTGGGGAGCTATAGTCATAGTCACATCAGTAAGAGAGCCAGCTTTCTGCTCATAGAACAGGTGGAGAGCTAAGAACTCAGGGATGTGCTCACTGTGCTGTGTACTTGTTCTTTCCCCTAGGTCGAGTTTGGAGGCTTTAGTCAGAACTATGGAAATGTTTCAGAATTAGCCACCCAGACACAGAGGACCAAGCCATTGATTCCAGAAATGTGCTTCACCTCTACTGGCTGTAGCACAGACATCAACCTTTCTACCCCTTACCTTGAGGAAGATGGCACCAGCATGCTCGTTTCCTGCAAGAAGTGCAGTGTCCGTGTCCATGCCAGTGAGTCCTCTCTTACCTTTCATCCTATCCTAACAGCATGGCCTGCTCACTGAAAGTCCTTACTACCTGCTAGCCTGCCCAGTCCCCAAAAGGCAAGGCTGCTGACATGTTATTGGGGAGTTGTTACCGATTGGTGAGTTTCCTGTGGCTCCAAGCTTCCATACTTTTGCCAGTCAACGCTGTTGTCCTCTTGGTTGCAGACATCCAAGGGGATTAGTCTCTGCTGCTTACTAGGTGTTTGCCCCAGTGAATCCTGGATCATTCTGTGTGGTTAGCCCTAGGAATTCTGACCTAGAATTTAGGGATTGCTATAAAATTTGGTATCTTTGAATGGTGGTCTATGAAAAAGAATTGCAAATCCCCATTCCAACTGTAATCTCCAGGTTTAATTTGCTCTTCTTGGTGTCCTTACCAGGTTGCTATGGGGTTCCCCCTACAAAGGCTTCTGAAGAGTGGATGTGTTCTCGGTGTTCAGCCAATGCCCTGGAGGAAGTAAGTATTTTACACTCTTCTGTCTTCCCCATGAGACTTGAAGTAGTAAGTTCAGGGCCAGGCTCTTCCATGCTGGACTTTATGTCCACAGCAGCCTGTACAGGGCCCAGCATTCAGTGATGTCATAGTGAATTGGGAGACTAAGTCCTATGACAGAGTATGCCACCACTTGCAGGAGGGCATAAATGGATATAGAACCGTGTTCTAATTTCCTTTTACTTCCCTTTTCCTCCTCCTACTCTTTAACTACTATCTCCAAAAAACCAGATACAGGTCCTCCTATGGAGGATCCTTAACTCCCTTTTAGAGCCATGGGGTTGGAACCTCAAAATGGGGCTCAGTTGTTCATTGTACAACTTTTTCTAGATCTTTGCCCCTAGATCCTGGCAGCACTCCTTGTAGGAGGCATTCAGCCTTACAGTGTTTCCGGGTTGTACAGAGCTGCTTTGTTGTTAGGTACAGTAACTGTGAAGAGGATTATGCTGAGTCAAATGACACTTGGTGTACTTTGGCTGCAAGTGACCTCTGTTTCTCCTACAGGGGAGTCCTGGCTATAGGGCACACATTTGAAGGCCAGCCTGCTTGCTATTGCATTGCTTTCTTGGTTGAGACTAGAGTTGCCCACAGGAAGTTGTGGGGTGAGCAGATGGGATGTTAATGACTTGCTGGTAACCACTTTCCTCCTTCACTCTTCTGGGCAGGACTGCTGTTTATGCTCATTACGTGGAGGGGCCCTACAAAGAGCAAATGATGACAGGTAAATTTTCTGAGCAGTCTCCAATGCCCAGGGTAAGTTCTGAAGCTGTGTGTAGTGGCTCTGCAAGCGTGATGGCTTTGCTCCTGAGTGACTGTGAGGATTTGGGCAGCACACAGAGTTGAAATAGCATCTCTGAGACTCATTTGACAGTGGGATGCCCAGGGGGACCACGTAGTCCTAGACCACCTTTTCAACTCCACATTCCCTCTTAGGCAGAGATGTAAGATATCCTCCTTTTTGGAGGAGCTAAGGTTGGACTGAGAGAGTGTGAAAACCCTTTGAAGTGGCACAGGAACTACATGGGCTCAAAGTGAGCACACTGACCTTGTTACAGGGATGATGTACACAGAGGTATCCACGACTATGAGCTAGTAAGCAACTCTCGCTCACACAGACCAGCTGTTTGGACAGGGTAGAAGTCCTCAAGGGGGGACAGTGGACCACAGGAGAGCTCAGCCAGGCCATCCACTGTTAAATCTATAAAATTGTCTGGGCATCTCAAGACATCAGGCAGCTCATTTTCATGGAATGGCATCTTTGTTCTCTGCCTCCTGTTTATTTGCTCTTGAGATAGAAACACAAGACAATGAGGTTTTTGCTCTCAAAGGACTAGCTGTCTTGGGAGCATGGTCCACAGGTTGGTGGCAACCAGTAACTGATGTTCTTCTTTCAAATAAAATCTTTGGGAATCCAGCCTACTGCCTTGCAGGATTCCCGTTATGCTGCTTCTGATGGATGGCTCTTCTCTTACTGCTTCCACTCCTTTATTAAAGGCACTTGGTGCCGTTACTTGAGGTTAGGGCGTCCCTCATAGTTGCAGGGTAGGGCTGGTAATGTCCTTCTTTATTTGGAGAGGAAATGGCTCTGTTGGAGTCTCTCACCTTTGCCTATTAATCCCTGTTCTATCCTTCTGGGCCACAAAAACCAGAATTTTCCCACTCCCATATAACAAGCCTGTCATTACTACAGACTACTTCTATGTAGACCTAGAATTGTCTGTTGTAGGTTTACCTCCTTTTTTTTTTTTTTTTTTTTTGGGAGCTGGGGATTGTACCCAGGGCTTTGCACATGCTGAACACATACTACCACTGACCTGCACCCCATCCTCAACATAGCCTGATATTAAGAGCTTTCACCATCTTGGTGGTATTTCTCATCTTGGTGTATGTGGGTTTCCAAAAATGCCTAGAACTTACTTTAATCCTCTAAGGGTGTCCATTGTGCAGATCTCTCAGAGAATGTGGGGCTTGGACCAGACCTTAAAGATTGAGTTAGCCATGGGTAAAGAAAGCAGAAGAAGAGGTCATTTCAGTCCAGGGAAGAGGTTTGTGCCGTGGCCCAGGGGGAGACCATGATTATTGGTAGATTGGGACACAGTGGGGATGTTTACAGGAAGTTTTGTGGGAAAAGAGCCCTATTTTGAGCTCTTCTAGTTAATTCTCACTCCAAAACTCACCACACAGTTACCTGTGGTTCTGCTTATTTTGCTACAGAATGAGGGAATGGTGCAAGAAGTGTGACCTTGTGCTAACCTAGGGCAGTATGTCCATAGTACTTAGTGTGGTGGCATTTCTGGGTCTTGGAAGTCAGTGGCCCACAGGTGACTGATGCCTTTTCCTTTTGGCAGGTGGGTCCATGTATCTTGTGCTGTGGCAATTCTGGAAGCAAGATTTGTCAACATTGCAGAAAGAAGTCCAGTGGATGTGAGCAAAATTCCTCTGCCCCGCTTTAAACTGGTAAGGAAAAAGAGAGGAGCTTGTAGACTCCACCCTACTTGCATGTCGTAGTAGGGGATAACAGTGCATTTATGCTTTGGTAGTGGCCACCTTCTTGATTTTCGTCAGTTTGTGATTTTTACCCTATGCTTCAGTTACTTAATGAAGAGATTAGAGTAGGCTGTGCACCGTGCCTTTTCGGAGGAGAGTGGACTCCTGATGGCTTGGCTCTGTACATTTGTGAGGGTGGAATAATTGAGCAGACTCAAATATCAGTTTCTGGAATCATTGGGTTTCTTTCTTTCTATGCAGAAATGTGTCTTCTGTAAGAAGCGAAGGAAAAGAAATGCTGGCTGTTGTGTGCAGTGTTCTCATGGCCGCTGTCCAACAGCTTTTCACGTGAGCTGTGCCCAGGCTGCTGGAGTGATGATGCAGCCTGACGACTGGCCTTTTGTAGTCTTTATTACCTGCTTTCGGCACAAGATTCCCAATTTGGAGGTGAGGGAACGTGCCATTCTAGTCCTCTTGACAATTTTCAGGATCATTTTCTCTGTATGCCGTCTGTTTATTGTGTCAGCAAATATCTCCTCAAGCCATTATCCTCGATGGAGAGAGCTAATGAGCAAGCAACTGAGAACTGGGCCCTGCCCATCTCTACTCCCTGCCTCATACTTCATAATCCAGTGGTGCTAAGCTGCTTTGGTCAGTACCTTTGGATTATCTGTTTACTTGCTGACTTCTCCACCAGGATAAACCCTTTGAGGATTCATAGCTTAGTAATCTGGGTGTCTTTTTCTTTACCCTGCTCTCAGGGACATAGCAGCACCTCTGTAAATGTTGAGAACTGATGCCTCTGACAGTTTACCAGTAATTGCCATGCAGTAGGGAGTTTTGCAGTTCTCTAAATGAACATTAGCTAGAGGAGTAATGAAAGGGTCTGGGTGGATCTTGAACAGTAAGAAGGAATTGTGAGTAGGAGAGCATTCAAGGCTTTAGAAACAGAAGGAGTAAGTCTTGGAAGAATAGACATGTAAGGGCTGGGGGCATAGCTCAGTTGGTAGACTGCCTAGTATGCATGAGGCACTGGGCTCCATCTCCAATACCACAAAAAGAGAGAAAGGATATGCAGGACTGGGTAGGGGATAATTCAAGAGTGCTGGAGAATGAAGGCCCTGCTCTGTCACACTTAAGAGAGTTCATCTCTCTTCCACTGGATGAGGAGTACTTTTTGAATAGTATGGTTTTGAGATTCTTTTCCCCCATATTCAGGTTTGAACTCAGGGTCTCACGCTTGCTAGGCAGGTGCTCTCTACCACTGCAGCCAAACTCCCATTTCATGGACCATGTTTTTTTAACAGTCATTCAGGTGATTGTTTGAGCCGAGGACTCAAGAATCAGAATTGGAGGCAGGAAAAACAAGTTAGCCTAGGAGAAAGTTGAGGTCTGAAATAGAAACAGATAGCAGAGCTTGCGGTCATGTGTAACTTTTTGAGATCCCACCATAGGTAGAATTCACAGGGCTTATTGACTGCCATAGGGGAGGGGATATGAACTGACAGTGGCTTGGGTTGCTCATTTGAGAGATGGAAAGGAGGCTAGCAGGATATTATTAACTGGTGTCAGGAATTGAGGTGGAGGAGGGCTGTTTTGCCAGGGAAGGGGGGGCATGAAAAAGAGGAATGGGCACATACATTTTGAGGTCTCTGAACATTCAGTTGAGCAACCAGCAGACAGAAGAGGATGAATATTTGGATATTACCAGCTCTTAGCCAGATAGTTAAACCCAGTTCCCATTGGAAACTGGGCTGTGGAGATACCTAGTGTAGGGAGCAGTGAAAGCAGCCAGTGGAAGGATAGGGAGGACCACATGCTGTCTGGAGAAGGCAGGTCTGGTGTGGTGGTCACTGAGTAACCCCAAGGTGGGGAGCCCCAGGGGGCAGTCAGCACCGAACCTAGCTCACAGCTGGGGAAGATTCTGCCATCAGTATGTTACAGGGTGACAGAAGAGACTGTTGTGCAGACCTTCAGTGGTGTAGTAAGTATGATAATCAAAGGAAGAACACAGGAGAGATTCCCTCTAGAGGAAGGAACTTCTGACTCTGCTATTGGGGAATCACAGAAAAGTCCTCTGTGATTGACTAAATCCTTTCTCATGAGATGTTTGAGCATGAGAGGTGGTTAGCCATACAGATGGGACCTTGGGGAGATATTAAAATATTCCACTTGTGAATGGGGCTGTGAAGGAATAAAAAGGTCTGAGTTTGGTCATGGAACAGGACTTCACACGCTTATGTTGGCAGCTGTAGACTGATGCTGTGAGGAGACTGGGGTGCTGTTGAGTATTTCTTTTACTAATTCATTCTTCTGATTTTTATTAAGCATCTGCTATGTGCCAGGTGCAAGTATTTGTTTTCTGTTTTTTCTTTCTTTTTTTTTTTTTTTGAGATAGCGTCTCACTATGTAGCTCAGGCCAGCCTTGAACTCACAGTTCTTTTGCCTCAGCCTCCCCGGTGCTGGGATTACAAGCATGGGCCACCATATCCAGCTCAGGTAGTGTTTTAGCAATTTCCTAGTGGACAAGACAAAAGAAAGTCCCTACCTTCATATGAGGTGAAGTTGAAGGATACATAGGAAACTAGTCAGATCGTGAAAAGTGCAGTAGATAAGAAGAGTGGACAATAAGGAATGGCATCAGTGAACAGACATTGGGATGTAAGGAGCCAGTATGCTGATAACTGAGGAATGGCATCTCAGGTAGAGGGAACAGCAGCGCAAAGGCCTGAGGTGGGAGCATGTGTGGTAAATGTGAAGAGGCCAGCAGGGCCAGAAGAGTGCTTGGGCAGGTGTTGGGGAGTAGTTGGACATGAGTCTGCCACATGCTTTGTGATCTTGTTTGCATCAAAGACAAGTTCAGAATAAGAGTGAGGTAAAGGTACCAGAGATGGCAAGGCCCTGATAATGGGGCAGTTTGTTGTTTGTACCTAAGGACATCCAGGAAACCTTCGTCCCTGTGTCCCTATCCTGAAGGTAGAACTAGTGCTCAGGCCAGTGTGGAGTGTTTCCTGAAGCCCAGAACCTCCAGTCGCCAAGTAAGTTTCTTCTTGGGTACTCTGTATGTTAGCAGGTACCATTTGGTTGGTCAGAAGGGACTGTTTAGTGGGGTTTTGCATAAGAACAAGGAGGAGCTAAATTTATGGAGGAAATTGTGACTCTGGCTGGGATGTGGGTAAGTGGAAAGGCCTGCTTCAACTCTCATCTCTGTTCCTTTTCTGTCCCCATGGTTATTTTTCTCTGGTAAAGAGCAACCGATTGATCAGGGTCTCCATTACCGAGGCCTGTCAACTCAGTACAAGAGTAACCCAAGCCTCTGTTTCTTGCAGCGTGCCAAGGGGGCCCTCCAGAGTATCACTGCAGGCCAGAAGGTCATTAGCAAACATAAGAATGGGCGCTTCTACCAGTGTGAGGTGGTCAGACTCACCACTGAGACCTTCTATGAAGTCAACTTTGATGATGGCTCCTTCAGTGACAATCTTTATCCAGAGGATATAGTGGTAATGTCTGCAAGCAGCTTCTTGGGGCAGTTTGGGACTGGGATGTTTCTAGGTCTGGCTGACAGATGGACTTGTGGATCTGCTTGGCTTTTCTTACCAGGTCCTGTGATTCTATTAGTCAGTCCCCAAACAGGGAGAAACACTTGTCCTAGTCTTTCCTTACAAGGAATAGTGTGTGCTACTAGGGTACACTGCTTTCCCTAGAAGTTTGTGGGAATCAAGGGTTCTTGAAATTCTTTGAAACATCCACATATTTCAGTCTAATATACTGGAAGGCATCTAGTCCAGGAGAAAAACCCAGGCCTTGGAATCAAACCAGTATTCTGATACCAGCTTCGTTGCTTAGAAGTCATGTGATATTAGAATCATCTAAGTCTCTTTTCTTCCAGTGCCTTCTTAGTAGATGTATACGATCTGTTTTTGGCTCTTCACAGTCGAGGGCTTTGGAACAATATAAAAACCACTTGGAGACACATCTGGTCTGTTTACGTTATCAACACCTGAGACATTGGAGGCCCTACCTGGACCCAATACTGGGTTTCCTGGCTCAAGATTTGGGACTTAGTTTAGGTTTCCCTTGCCCTTCCCCTGCTTTCTCCACCAAGGTAGCACCAAGGTAGAGGAATGAAGCCATTTTTCCCTTTAATAAATTGGATATTTCCCATGTTTATACCACATTAGCATCTAAATTGCTAAAAGCACATTAGTTAGTTGTCATTGTGTAGATAATATATGGTATGCCAGGTACTATGCCCCAAGTGCTGTGTATTAGTTCTCTCCCTTCTCATACAGGCTCTGAGAAGTACGTGATGGTCTTTCTAATTCATTGAATAGTTATCACTACTCCCTTTTCTGCATTTATTGAGGACATCAAAGAGCTTGTATTTTTGAGTTAAGTCCATAAATATTTACTATATTAGAAATTAAGACTGAGTTTAATAGCTTTTTTTTTTTTTTTTGAGATAGGATCTTATTACATTGCCTAGGATTGCCTTGAAAGCAACAGTTCTGCCTCATCCTCCTGAGTGATGGGATTACAGATGTGCACCACCATACCCAGCTTGCTTTTTTTTTTTTCTTTGTAGGACTGGGGTTTGAAGTAAGGGTTTGATATTGCAAAGCAGGCACTCTGCCACTTGCACCACACTTCATTCCATTTTGCTGTGGTTATTTTGGGGATAGGGTCTCATGAACTGTTTGCCTGGGCTGGCCTCAAACTGTGATCCTCCCCATTTCAGCCTCCCAAGTAGCTAGGATAATAGGTGTGAGCCACCAGTGTTGGGCTTACACCCAGCTCTTAATAGCCATTTTTAATGAAAAGTGTATTTTCTAGCTGGGCACCAGTGACTCATATCTGTAATCCTAGCTACTCAGGATGCAGAGATCAGGAGGATCGAGGTTCAAATCCAGCCTGGGCAAATAGTTCGCTAGACCCTATTTCTAAAAAAACCCTTCACAAAAAAAAAAAAAGGGCTTGTGGACAGAATCAAGGTGAAGGCCATGAGTTCAAGCCCCAGTACTGGGTGTGGGGAGGGGGGGATGTATATATATGTTTTCTAAAAAAAAACCATGCCATTTTTGTCCAGTTTTGCAAATCTCTTTAATAATGCTTTTTCACACAGTCTGTTGTGGAACATAGTTTTGATTAAAGTATAGAAAAGGGAAGAGCATTTTAAGAACCTTTCAGATAACTGTAGCTAGTAGTTACAGTGTATAATCTGAAAGCAGGTCAGTGAACTTGTCATACTCTGTTACATTAAAATTCAAACTTAAAAATTGTTTTAAGGCTGGGGAGTGACTCCAGCAATAGAGTGCCTGCCTAGAAAGCATGAGGCCTTGAGTTCAAAACCCCAGTAGCACAAAAAATAAAGTTAAATTAAAAATGTATCTTCCACCTGTGCCCAATTCTTTTTTTTTTTTTTTTTTGTGGTGGTACTGGGTTTGAACATGACCTCACAGGTACTCTACCACTTGAGGCAGGCTTTGCTTTAGTTACTACTTTTTTTTTTTTTTTTAAATAGGGTCTCTCTTTTTTTTTTCCCCAGGCTAGCTTGGACCATGATCCTCCTGTTTACACACCCCCACCTCACTGAGATGATAGGCATGTACCACCACACATAGATTACTGGTTGAGATGGGGAGGGGACTCACTAACTTTTTCTCTGGGCTAGCCTCGAACCCTTAGCCTCCCGATGTCTACCTCCTTAGTAGCTGGAATTACAGGTGTGAGCCACTGCTCCCCAACCATGCCTCATATTTATTATTTATTTATTATTGTTTTGGAAGTGGGTACATTGCATGCCTGATTCTTTTAATACAATATATTGGTCATTTAGAAAATACTGTTGCACTGGGCTATGGGCTAAATTGACCTTTCAGATGTTAAGTTTTATTATAAATACCACATTCACATTGTTATTCATCAGAAAGCTCACCTTGGTAATACTACTTTTCTAAAATTCTAATTTTTGCTTGGAAGTTTGAATATTACTGGCAGTAGATTCTGTTTTCCTTTAAGAGGCTCAACTTCATTTTTAAGATGTCTGCCAGACACCCATTCTCAATAACCATAGTTTGTCTTCACTTTCTCCCCCTCAAATAAAGGTGGTGTTGCATGAAAAAGAGCAGCTAGTACAGCTTACAACTCAGATAATTACACAATTATACAAGTGGTTTTCTTTTTAATTTTTTTTCTACCAGGGATAGAACCCAAGACCTCAAGCATACTAGGCAAGTGCTCTACCATTGAGCTACACTCCTAGATCAAACACACATGGTTTTCCTTCAAGCATCATACTTTTATATGTAGCCTGAAGTATCTTACCAGTACTTACACATGCATTCAAGCTTAAGATGTAACAAAGTTAGTCATTACTACTTCATCAAGGGACACTGTTATGTGAAACCAAGTTTGTTTGTTTTTAAAAACTGTAATTTGAATTTAGGGCCTCACACTTGTTACACTACGTGAGCCATGATCCCACATCTTTTTTGCTTAAGTTTATTTTTCAGATAGGGACTGGTACTTTTTGCCTAGAGCCCATTCTCAGATTGTAGTCCTCCTACCTTTTCCTCCCTGGATGCTGGGATTTCATACACGCACCATCATGCCCAGCTTGTTTTTTTGTTTCTGTTTGTTTTTGGCAGTATAGGAGTTTGAACTCCAGGCCTCACACCTGCTAGGTAAGTGCTCTAGTACTTGAGCTACACCCCCCAAGCCCTTCTTTGTCTGGTGCTAGCCTCAGATCAAGATCCTCCCAATTCCTGCTTCCTAAGTAGCTGGGATTATAAGATGTGAACCACCACACAGAGTCTCGGCTTGTGCTTTTGATATAGGGTCTCCCCTGGTAACTTTTTTGCCTGGGTTGGCCTTGAACCTGTACTATACCGTGTCCTTCCAAGTAGGTGAGATGATAGGTGTGTAGAACCATGCCCAGCAAAACCAGGGTTTCCCCAACCCCTTAAATTCTGAGTGCACAGTGATGAAGAATGCTGTAATAGTTGGTAGAGCTTGGGGCTGCTGCCTGGGTTTGGGCCCATGAACAGTAGTACCATCACAGATTTCACACACCACTGCAAACATCAACAGTGAAAAAGGTTAGTGTTTTAATATTTTTGATCTCAAATGCTCCCTGAAAGCATCTTAGATACCCCTTAGGTTTACAGATCACCCTTTGCTGTTATGGGAAGTTTGGTTAGTTAAAACTTCCACCTCAGAATTTTTTTGACTGGTGGCTGTAACAGCAGTTCCTGCTGAGGTTATTTAGTTTTTCTTGCTATAGCAGCTCACAGACTTAATTTTTATTTTTATGAAAACATTTTTTGATTACCTTCTTAAGACAGAAGAGAACCTTTTCTAACTCTTACAGAACAGTTGTGGATGTCCACATCCCTACAGACTCGCTGTCCTGCCCCTCTCTGATGTGCACACTAACCACTGTGTACCAAGCCCTATGCTGGGACATGAGGATTCACCTTAGCCTTCCCCCTTTTAGTAGTAAAAATTGTCATGTCCTGGGCCATGTCCCATGGTAGGTGAACTTTTCCTTTCTTACTTTGCCTGTATTTTAAGAGCACATTTCTTAAAATATAATTGAGTGTAGTTCTTGTGTTGATGGCAGAGCCCTGGGGAGCCCTTCCAGGGTCAGTTAAGAGGATGTGAGTTTGATTGTTGATTCCAGCACCTGCTCCTGTGTGTACTAAGTTGATTACAGCAGCTCTTTTTGTCACCTAGTAGTAGGTAACAGACAAATCGGTGGACTCTGACCTAGCATGAGGGTTCTTAGTGGTTCTTACAGCCCAGAGCAATCTGCCTTGCTTGGAGTGTGTGAGCGGGAATATGTCTGGCTTATTCTTACCTGAGTCCATGTCAGTTCCCATTATGCTCAGGTGGACCTTCCTTTCATTCTTTCCTCAGAGTCAAGACTGTCTCCAGTTGGGTCCTCCAGCTGAAGGGGAAGTGGTGCAGGTGAGATGGACAGACGGCCAAGTCTATGGAGCTAAGTTCGTGGCCTCCCACCCCATCCAGATGTACCAGGTAACCAGAAGTTTCTGCTAGGGAGTTGGGGGTGAGGTGAGTACTTGTTTAATTTAGTGCTTCCTTTTGGATGAGAGGCGAGTCTTTGCTCTGGAGAGAACTAGTAGGTCAGTAACAACCTTTACATAGGTCTGTCATGCATCCACTCTGCCAGTGTGGCTTGAGACATGGCAGTCTTTACTCCTGTGTTATAATGCCTTCCCTTGGCTACAGGAAAATGCCACTGTGCTTGGTGGACCAGGGAGACACAGGAGTATCCTAGCTAAAAAGCAAAATCCCTGTGTTTCCTTGGCAGGTGGAGTTTGAGGATGGCTCACAGCTTGTGGTTAAGAGAGATGACGTGTATACGCTAGATGAAGAGCTTCCCAAGAGAGTTAAATCTAGACTGGTGAGTGTGTATTTTCTGTGTGTCCCTTGCTCCTGGTTGGGAGAAGAAGGGAACATGGCAGGGAAATGTCCCTTTGTTTGTTTTTCTAATTGGTGTAGTTGGCCCCCTAGTAATGATTTGGCTTGCCTATTTTTCTATAGTCAGTAGCCTCAGACATGCGCTTCAACGAGATTTTCACAGAGAAAGAGGTTAAACAAGAAAAGAAACGGCAACGAGTCATCAACTCAAGATATCGTGAAGATTACATTGAGCCTGCACTGTACCGGGCCATCATGGAGTAGATGCTTTCAGGGTTCAAGAGGTTCCCAGCCATCAAGGCGAGAGCACTCTGGGGTTCCACAGCACAGCAGACACTTGGAACTCAGCAGTCTCTATAAGTGAAGTTGTAAAAAGAAAAGGAATGAAATACCCAGCTCCATCACCTTCTCACCCAACCCTCATCGCATTCCACTGTAGTGAAATGACAAGCTGTTTTGGACACTTGGCAGCAGCCACTGATCTCCCAGTTAAGGGGCTGACACTGGAATGCTGTGACTATATCGGCCCCCAGTCCAAAAAGGGGTCAACTGTGCCAGCTGTTCTGGCCTAGGACTTAGCTTCCTATCAATCACCTGTACCAACTAAGCAAGGTGCTGGTGTTTGACCCAACTCCACTTTTGTATTTATGTGTGTATGCGTGCGTGTGTGCGTGCGCGCGTGTGTGTGTGTGTGTGTGCGCGCATGTGTATGTTTGGTCTGGACCAGCTTCTGACAGCCCCTGGCCTTTACTATCTTCCTTGCCTATGCAGGGCAAACAAAATGTGAAATTCTACCCTCAGCTGAGCTGAGTAAGGGTCTCTAGGGGTTTGCTGGGTGTGCCATCTGTCCAGGCCTGGAACCATCTCAAGAGAGTGTTGGCAAAGCTGCAGTATTGAGATGCTGAGGAACTGATGCCGCTTCTTCTTCCTCCCTTTGAAGGAGAACACAGGGGTGACATGGTGTGTGTGTGCCCACATATACTCTAGGCACAGAGCTCCTGTGGCACAGTATTAGAGGGTAGGTGGGGAATACCTGTGAAGAGGGGATTTTAATGATGGAAGCAGGCAGAGCCTGGTGGGTGATTCTGTGAACAGAAAATTGCAATCATGCAGGGGCTGGGAGGGGTAGGATGAACTGGGGCCATTGGAGTGTAGATATGGCCCTGGTCAAGGGTGGGAGGGAGCTGATTGAGGGTGGGGGGTGGGACTAGAGGGTTAAACGCGTTTCTGCTCCTCCTGAATTTGTTTGCCTGGGCCCAGGATTGGAGGGCTTCACCTATACCCTGTGTATACAAGAATCAAATTTATAATACTTTCCCTTTTTTGTTACGTATGAACGCTATAAACCAAATTATTTTGAAAACTGGTGCATCACCTTGTCCTTAGCAATAAAATGTGTTGAGCAGAGGATTGGCTGTGTCTGCCCACGGAGCCCAAGTGGCCCAGGGTCAGGCTGGGGTATGTCCAGAGCCACAAGCTGGGGAGCAGAGTTGTGTATTTTAATAATATGTGGGACAGCATCTGGGAAGGTGTTCCAAAGAGATGGTCCCTTGTCAGGCTCTTTATTAGGCTAGTCATGGGGAGCAGGGGTCTTTCTGGATGTAAGCACCCTTTTTCTGCCTTGGAGATGGTAGGAGGAGGTAACGGGGGGAAGGACCAGACCACTGAGTCATCTCAGCAGACTTTGATCTACTTCCACCCCATATGATATGTCTTACTGAACTGGGCTAAGTCTATACCAGCATCTGTATTCCATACATGTTGTGGAACTACTTTGCTTTACAAGCAGTTATGTGCTTGTAAAGAAAGGGACTCATCTCAGTGGAACAGCCTGAAGCTGGTGAGAGAGAAGTTTCCCTGGAGGAAGACCCAGTCCCTGTCAGGGACGTGGTGGGTCCCTGAGGTCCAAGTGGACAAGGCCAAGGGAGCCTCCAGGCAGACGGAACAATGAATAGAGCTATTCCAACTGGCCAGCTCCCTGTGGCACTTGCCCTGTCCAGGTGCAGAAGCAGCTTGGGTCAACTTGCCTACTCAGTGCTGCTTTGTGTCCTTCACACTTGCGAGGTGGGTACTACTTAGTACTGAATTGTGGGAGAAGCAAGGAGCAAAAGGTTTCAAAGGTGCTTTTCTAAGCCCCTCCTTCCTAGGGCAGGGAAGGGAGGTTGACCTATTGTGCTTCACTTAAGGGTTCCCAGTGATGGGGTTGTGAGAAGTGGGAAGGCCTTTCTGGAATGGTGAAATGGGCCCTGAAAACATACATCTTTGGAGGAGAGGGAAACTTTCTCACCTTGAGAAGGTTCCAGACCTCCTCACCTCTCTCACTGTTCTCAGCCTTTGTGAAGGACCTCCAGGATTAGTGCCCTGCAACAGAGTTCTTACTCCAGAGCTAATCATTTTTCTGAAAACCACCTTTTTTTGAGACAGTCTAGCCTTGTTGTCCAGGCTGACCTCAAATTTGTGATCCTCCTGCCTCTGCCTCCCAAGTGCTGGGATTACATGGATGAAGTACCAAGCCCTGCTTGACACTTTCATTTTGGTCTAAAGAGAAAACCTAAGGAAACCTAAGCTCAAACAGGTGATGAGATTTTCACAAATCTCACAGTGCTTGTTTGGTGCTAGGGAATCAACCCAGGGCCTTCAGCATGTTAAGCAAGTGCTCTACAACTAAGCCACATACCCCTCACCTCCAGGCATTTTACTTAGGTCCTAATGGCCTCAGATAAAGGCTGTGCCCCCTCCTGCCTTAGGCAGGCCCCTGCAGAAGCCTTTTGCCAGGGCAAATTCGTACCCTGCGTAATCTAGTCTTTGAGTTGGCATCTCAAAGTTCCCACCCTCTTTTTCTGGCTAATTATGCCTTAAATTGTGCTCTAGGTTGGATAATGTCAGGCTCAGCTACGGGGATGGGGATGAGGGAGCTGGGTTGGGGGGAGATGGGATCTCCGGAGCAAACGGTAGGTAAGCGGGGTGCCGGTGTGTCCAGACTATCAAATAGCTACAAGGAAAGTTGGTAATACACGAGAGCAGCCTGCACCTCCGTGTCCTCTTACTCCAAGGGATTGGGCTGGGCCGCAGATGTCCAAACCGTGTCTTGTGCCTCAAGGAGCGATCTGGAGACACTGAAGATAGTGGAGGGCGAGATAAGGCGTACTACCTAAGGGGATGACCGTGACCTTGCCCCCGCAGGGAAACAGGCTCTCGAGGGGCCGGGTCCTCTTTCAGAGCACGCCTGCGGGCCTGGGGCTTCCTCGAGGCGGCCGGATAAGACTAGGGTGTCCGTGCTGTACCTGCAGCATTTCCACGCGCCGAACCAAGCGCAGCCCTGGTCTCCGTGGCCGGCGGGGGCGGTGGGCGGGCCGGAAGCACTGGGGCTGCGGGCCTATTGGGCCGCCCGCCCCTGCGGCGCAGTTCCACATTGGCCAGTATGGCGCCCCGCCCAGCTCCCGTCCGCCCATTGGTCGTGGATGCCCGACCCCCGGCGAAGGCGCTCAGGCGGAGAGCAGGATTGGTGGTCCCGCCGTACCGGGTCGCGGCCGCGCGCTCCGCCCGCCGCTGCGTCCCCACTATGGCGGCGCCCATACAGCCCACCGCGTCGTGGGCGCCCACCGGGGTTCCCCGCGGCTGTCGCCGCCGCCTGCGCCGCGGCCTCCGCCTTCCCGCCCCGCGTGGGGCCGGGCGCCGTTTGCCCCCTGCCTCCCTGTGCGCTGCGGTAAGGGCCTGCCCTGCACACTTCGGGACGCGACAGCTAACGGTCGCTGCCCGCCCCTCCCCCGGGCCGCCGTTCCTGGCGGGCGGGGCGCCGAGCCCGCGCTCGTGCTGCGGGGAAGGAGAGGGCGGTGGTCCCTGGGGCTGGAAGCCCGGCCTCTGCACGCTCCCCCCTTGTCGAGGGTTGCTAGGCGTGGGGAAAGGCCATGTAGACGTAAACTGAGCGGTCTGAGGTCGCCTGCGTGCGAGACCCCTAAACGCTGCGACCCTTGGCGCAGAGGAAGGACATGGCTATTGAGGCTCCGCTATGGAAAGAGGAAGGAAAAGTGTAGGGTAAACCTAAAAGGGAATTAGCATCGTATGGGTAGCGACTGTTACTGTTTACTGTAGCTTTCCCAGGCCAGATCTAAAGAGAGACAGAGGTCAATTTGATTGGCATAGTACACCTCTTCCTTTCCTCTGGCACTTTTCCCCGTTGTCTTCTGGGTGATCTTGTTTGCAAGAGAAAATATCTGAGGGAGGAGAGCATAGTGTCCCATGAATACACTGTATTGTTTTTTACAACAGTGCCCATTTTATGACTCCTCAATAAACCTCATTTCTGTTTATCGTACATACGAGGCAGGGAAACGTTAAAACTGAGTGTGATAATTAACTGAGGGAAAGACCAGTGAAGGCAGCTGTTACCTCAGAAAGTAAAGAATACTTAACAGACTTGAACTATACCACTGTAGTCCTTTGAACTATTCATATTATAGATAAGTTGGACAGGAAGGCAGAAAAGCTACAAATTAAGTTACTGAAAGTAAAATAGACGTCATGACAATTTAGGTGTTTGCTGTACCTTCAAGTCAACAAAGGATTAAAAGGAAACTGAGGGGAAAAAAATGTGTGACCAGATGGTAGTTTCAAATGATCTTTTAAGGCAATGAGGATATTTTGAAGTATTACGTGGTGGATTTCTCCATTTCATAAGTCTTCTTATGTACCTATAATTTAATAAAACTGAGTCATTAATGATGAAACAAGACATGCATGTGCTTAGAGACTAATGGTCTTGCTCAGTCACTCAATTGTCCATTGAGTTCTTATCTTGTGCAAGGTATTGATTGAGGGGAATTCAGACATTTAAGATAGAAACTTGTTCTCAGGGACTTTTAATTGTAGGACTAAATGAAAATAATAGCTAATGATGTGGTCTCTAGAATTCCAAGACAGCAGGTACTATGAGAAATCAGGAAAAGGAGAAACAGGTAATTAAGGAAGGTTTCATAGGAGAGCTGAAATTTGAGTTCAGCCACAAAGAGTGCGCAAGCCTGACAGGATGAAGAGAAGAGAGCAGATGGAAAATGAAGATGGTAAAGATAGTGTGGGGAGACAGGACATAGATGACTTGAAATGCATGTGGGTGGTTCCAGGGGGTTTTTATTGAAAAAAAAAAATGGAAAATGAGTTAATACAAAAGGAGCTTGATGGCATCAAATGGAGAGTTACCTTTGAGTGAAGGATAGCTGGAACTGTCAGGAAAGAAACCCACTAATACTTTATTTAGGTTGTCACCTTTCTGAGTAACCTCAGCTATTTAGAATAGTTCTCAGCCACTACAGAGCTGCATCTTACCTTCTTTTCTCCCATGTTCAGCTGGTTTCAGGTGTTACTGATCCTACCTCCTTAGTATTCATCACCTTCTTTCAATTCTTATGCTCATCACTTTGATTTGGGACTATTGATATTCTAGTGAATTACCCCAGAAGGCCCCCTAACATTTTTTCTTTTCTTCCTGTCTATCATATGTATTACCATCCTTTCCAGGTGTGTTACTTCTGCAGTCAAGACTTTAACTGACTCCTGTCTGTTTCAGTTAAGCACACACTAGCCTGGCATGACAGTATGGGCAAATGCATTTATTGCCATGCCCTTAGATGTTATTATATTTTCCAGATCGATACTTGCTTTTTGTACTTTGCTCTTTGAACTACACATCTTTGCTCATGTTGTTTTTTCCTCCCCATCTTAACTGACACCCTTGAATCTCTAATTCTTGTTCTAACTCATGTTTTACAGCCATTTGATATGTGAGGTGTTTCTGTACTTTCCTCTCCTAAAGCACTGTAACTTTAGAGACTGTCGTTTTTTGAGTCAGGGTCTCCCTCTGTAGTCCAGGTTGGCCTGGAACTTTTTTTTTTTTAGAGGTGCTGGGGCTTGAACTCAGGGACTCATGCTTACTAGGCAGACAGTTGGGCCACTCCACCACCCCTTTTTGGTGTTGGGTATTTTTTGAGGTAGGGTCTCTCAACTATTTCTCTGGGCTGGCTTCGAACCACAATCTTGATCTCTGTGTCCTGAGTAGATGGTGAGCATTTTTTCATGTGTTTTTTGACAATTTGAATTTCTTCTTTTGAGAAAGTTCTGTTTAGTTCATTTGCCCATTTCTTTATTGGTTCTTTATTAGAGAATTTAGTTTTTTGAGTTCCCTATATATTCTGATTATCAGTCCTTTGTCTGATGTGTAACTGGCAAATATTTTCTTCTACTCTTCAGTTTAGAGACCATTTCTTTCGTTGAGCAGAAGCTTTTTAGTTTTATGAAGTCCCATTTATCTATGCTATCTCTTAGTTGCTGTGCTGCTGGGGTTCCATTGGGAAAGTTCTTACCTATATCTATTAGTTCCAAAGTATTTCCTACTCTTTCTTGTACCAACTTTAGAGTTTAGGGTCTGATATTAAGATCCTTGATCCGTTTTGAGTTAATATTGGTATAGGGTGATAACCATGGATCTAGTTTCAGTTTATGCTGCATGTTTAACATGAGTACACAGGGAACTCTGTTCCTTACAGTCACTTAGGGACGGAGGCAGATGGAAAACTTAAATTGGTGCTCACATGGGCACTGACTTTTAAAAGTTTCTGTCCCAAAGTGGCACATGGCTGTGTGTAACTTTAAAGCAGGGTAGGAAATTGTAACCTTAGCATATACCTAGCAATCAAAGAGCCAAAAGTATGTGATGAAGAGCACTAATGACTGAATCTTCTGTGGGTGTCATTATCCATTGAAGATTAGAGACAGCAAATCAGATGGACTACTAGAGACAAGTGTATTCACAGTAGTAAGAAATAATAGCTCTGACTAGGCATGGTTTGAGGTGGATTTAGAGTCAAAACTGTATTAAGAAGCGTTTGTAAATGCTTATAGGCCAAGGGCAGTATATCCCCGTTACAACACAGTCATTCCTGAGGGTATTACTGTTTTACAGCATTCTTACTAGTGAACATAGTAATCGTGCTGTGGTATTCAAAAGTAAAAATGTTAAATCAGCTAGATTAAATCCCTGTAATCTTAGCATTCTGGAGGCAGAAGCAGAGGATTGAGTTTGAGGCCAGCGTGGGATATATAGGAAGTTATAGGCCAGCCTAGGCTATGTACCAAAACCCTGTCTCAAAAATAAAGAAATAAAAAGGCTAATCATATTCAAGATACTCCATTTAAGAAGTCAAGAAGAGTGTGAAATAATTTGGGTGCACTTCTACTTGAATGGTTAAAATAAGAAGGGGTCTTAGCTTAACCTTACTGGTTTAATTAAGACTAACAAACTTGGTATTTGGGGAGCTTTCTGTTTTGACAGGTAATAGAAGCAGGGTACTGGTTGGAACCCTGGTTCAGGATTCATATCTTGGCTTTGTCACTAATTAGCTGTCTGACATTGAGCAAGTATCATTTTTTTGAAGTGCTGGGGATTGGTCTCAGGGTCTGTGCATGTTAGACAAGCCCTGTGCCAGTGAGCTACATCCTCAGTCTCCAGTGTCTTATTCTTGAGCCCAAGTTTCCTCGTCAGAGAAATGCATAGACTATAAGAATTAAATGAGTTAGGGAAGGAAATCCCAGAGATGTATGGGAAGGGTTCTCCCATATTTTCTAACCTTTTTCCCCCTTCCTTAGATAACATTACTGCTATACTTTTTTATTTTTACATTTATCATTTTGTTTAGCTATATACATGACTGTCTCTACTATTACACTAAGCACTCACATTTATTGAACGTGAGCTTAGTGCCAGGCTCTGCATTGTGCCATTATAGATGTGGAAGATATGCCCCTGGCTTCATAGAGGCATTGTAACCAGAAGTTATAATACTATCAATCTCAGTATCCATGGGGGATTGGTTCCAGGATTCCCTAGGGATACCAAAATCCAAGGACACTCAAGACCCTTATATAAAGGGCATAGTATTTACATATAGCCTACACATATCCTTTTGTATACATTAAATTATCTCTAAGGTTTTTTTTTTTCTTTTTTCTTTTTTGCAGCACGGAATTCAGGGCCTCAACCTTCCTAGGCAGGTACTATTACCACTTGAGCCACTCTTCAGGCCCTTTTTTTATGATAGGTTTTTTTGAGATAGGGTCTCTCAACTATTTGCCCTGAGCGGGCTTCGAACTGCTATCCTCCCAATCTCTGTTTCCCAAGTATTGAGGATTACAATTTCTTATAGTACCTCATAGAATGATAATACTATGTAAATATTTCTTATTCTCTGACCTTTAGGAAATAATGCTAAAAAAAAAGTCGGTACACAGTTCATTACAGATGCCTATTTTTTCAGATGTTTTCTACCTGTGATTGGTTGAAGACAGTTTTTGGGTTTTTTTTTTCCCAATATTTTCTATCTGTAGTTGATTGAATGCAGACCTCCTGATACCTTTATAAGAACAGCTGCGATTTATAGTTGGTGGGATCTCCTAAAAGGGCCTAGATGTCACATTGGGAATATAAGTAATGATTTTCTAGAGAAGTTCATGCCTAACCTAAGTCTTGAAGAATCAGCAGTTATTAGCTGGGTGGATGTGGGTTTGGGCTTTTCACACAGAAAACCATGTGTGCCAGGGCCTAAAGACACAAATGTGGCTACATCCTGAGGCCACTTGTGTTGCAGGAGTGCAGAGTATCCTTGGAGTATCCTTGGGCAGTGTATGGGAAATGAGGCTTCAAAAGTCGGTCAAGAG